AACTGCTCAGTGCAGCCTGCTTTCATTTTAATACGAGCTTCTCTCTTATAATCATAGGCATCTCTTTAAATTCTTGCAGTAGCCATGTGCGTATCTATAAATGGAAAGTTAAGCTGCTCTGAAGACAGTTTAAACAGCAAATAGAAAAGTATGTCCAAGATTTAGAGTCCTGCCATTATTTAGAAATTGATAAGCCTGGCCCCTTATGATGGAGCTCATAGTAAAGACTTGCTTTGAGGACCTTAATTAATTGCTTATACTTCCTCTAATAGCAGACACCAGGATGATGGAGAGTCCAACAAAGACACCTGTTAGACTACAGGGTATGCTTTTTTATTTATCTTTAAATTTGAACATACTGATGTTTTGGGGATTCATAACACTTCAGCAAAATAATGAAGCCACACTCTGAAGAATCTGCCTCAGGATCATGGGATCATAAATTTTGAAGCTGGAACAGACCTTGAAAGCCATCTAATCCAGTCCCTTTGTTTTACAGATGAGAGGAACTGAGACCCAGAAAGAGCTGAAAAATTAATACAGATTGCTCTGCTCAAGTCTTTTTACTTCCCCATTCTCTGCTAGAGATTTATCTCAGATAAAAGAGTAATCAGTCTAATTGATTGACATATCACACATTCCCCAGGTTGGGATAGAGAAGTAAGGACCTGTTGGGCTATCAGCCTAAGTAGGAAAGAAGAAAAAGTCAAAAGTCAACATGAGCTAGTGACTAGTATCATTAAAGGACTTTATCTCCTACTTTTTAGTTATGTGAAACAGAATTTGAAAAGTAAGATCTACCCATAATCAAAGTTGACTATATATTGTTACTCAGTCCTTCTTCTCCTAAAGCTTTTGGATGGAGTGTGTGTAATCCTGCCTGGAAAAGGTACTTGCCAAAATGTAATAAAAACTCTTTTGGTTTACTGTATTAAAAGCCGTACATATTGTTGTCTTGTTAGGCATCAGTGTTTATCCTGCATAAGCGACTGTGTTTTACAATTGCCTTAACAAAAAGTAGTCTTAATTTTGTTTACACGGGAAAAAAATAAAAAGAACTGAAGTACAACAAGTTTATTGTTGTTGGCATTGTCTCGGCGTTCAGTTCCTGGAGTCTCATAGCCTTGATGTGTGTAGGTGGGTAAAAGAGATGGATTATGTGCAAGGGCTCTGAAGATGGAAAGCAGTCATTGCTCTATTAATGGCCTTTAAAAGAAACCAAACAGCCTTTATTTCTGTAAATGCTCAGGTCTGAACAGAGCTCAAAAGTACTTGATTTACTTGAGTGAAATGAATAATTGCTTCAAATGAATAAATAATTCGACTTTGGGTTCCTCGCAATACAGCTTTCAAGTTATAATTGAGCCATGTCATTTACTTATTGGATATTTTAAAAGAACTTCCATTAATACTTAGACAAATGTAATATCCCAACTTGGAAGAGAATGGAACACTTGGAATTTGGGATCGTGTATGGAAATGTTTTGCATGACTTGTATAATTGAGATTCCTTGCTTTCTTGGTGGGTGGAGGGGGCAGCAAGAGGGAGAGAATGTGGAACTCAAATTTAAAAAAAAAACAAACAAAAAAAGAATGCTGAAATTTGGAATTGTAGACCTTAGGATCTTTGCTTCATAGTAGGCAAAATGTTAGCTGCTTGGATTTGAGTTTTAGAATTCTGAAGATGTAACTATACTAGACTGTGAGCTCCTCGAGAGTAGCAACTATAGTCTGCCTTTTTTTGTATCCCTGGCACTTAGCACAGAACCTGGAACATAGTTGACTGAATGTATTGAGAAAAAAAATGACGTTTAGTTGACCAGCGCAATTAGTGAGGTGACCTGTGAACCAAAAGACAGGTTCTTTTCATTTTACTAAATTGGGTGACTGGGGCAAAGCCCTTACTTTCTCTTTCTGCTCACCTCAATTTAGATGTATAGAGTATCTGTGTGAATTAAGAAATTGGCCACGAACTACACAAATCAACAGTAGATGAGAGCTGACTTCCTAGAAAATGACAAATAGATTCACTAGTCTGAGCAAAACTTTGAGTAAGGTATGACAACCACTGCTGAGTTAAGGTTTGTTCAAAGACTTAGCAAAGATGGCATTACATCCTAAAAGCATATAAGCATATAGTTAAAAAAATACAAATGTTTCAGTGCAATTATAATAGAGAACAATTTGAGCAGAACACACATCTAGTGCTTGCCTGTGTGCAATTTCATCCACAAGAAATGAGAACATCTGAGCCAAGTTGCACAAACCACAGAAGAGATGAGGACAAATGAACCACAGTCATCCACTTCTGGTATCATAACTTTTCATCTGATTGCAGGTAACTCTCCTTCTGCCACTTCATAAATAATTCACAAGATGCAACCCTTACAAGGTTTACTTCCACAAGCAAACTTGAGATCTTTTTTCAAGGTAAAGCAGCATTTTTATTATGTATTTCCTGGTGCAGTAGTAGCTGTGGATGGAGGGCTGGGCAGCACCAATGCAATCCACTCTGCCCCTCCCCGCCCCTTCCTTTTGTGGCTAGGATCCCAGAATTTTGGCTCACCAAAGCTTGCCTGTAGCCATCAACTTTGCCAGCCTTGCCCTATGGGAACCAAAGACAAGGCTGAACTCAAGCAATCTAAAGCTCTGCCACTATTTGTTGTAGTATATAAATATTTCTTAATTAGTTAATATGTATAAAAAACATGTAACTGTTTTTATTAGCTTCTTTTTTTAATATGTCACAGAAATTTTTGAGTGTTATCCCTATCTCTATTTTCCCCATAAAACCCTTTGGTGTTTTTGAAATTTTGCATAGCATGGTGATTTTTAGAAATGCATGTCAGTAATAGAAGAAATGCCTCCAAAAGCAATCCCAAAAGATTAATGAAATAACCCTAGGGAGTAGTGGCAATATCTGAGTGACCAGGAACTTAATTGGCACAAAGTGACTAAGGGCTCAATTTGCATGAAGTTTTTGAAGGAGTGACTGGATACCTGTTACTGAGTGACTAAATATACTGGTATTTCCTGCTAGGAATAAGGAAGTAACCTAGAGCTTAATTTATATTTGGGGTTTTTTTGAGGTGATTTGGAGGAGGAGGAGGAAGATGGGTGATGGATCAGGGAATTTGCCTGAGAGTCCTAAAAGGGAGATGGGATAGCTCCAGAGAGCAAAGATGACTGAATGACCCAGGATTTAGTTTGCATTAACTTGTCACAAAAGTGTTAGGGAGCAAGGTGGCAGAATGACTAACAGCCTATTTCATCTAAGAGTTGAAAATGATGAAGGAATCACTTCAGAGAGTCATTGTCCCAAAAAGCATCCAAGGAGCTAGCTTCAAATTGCAATGGAGATCCCTGAGACACCTCTGCATGAGGGTATCATCATGGAGTGCCCCTAAAATTGACAAAATCATTATTTGTATAATCTGAAAGGGGTTTCCAGGTTGATCTGTGCCCAGAGATGAGGGATTTATTTTTCCCCCTAAAAAGGGCTATGGAGATAACTTTAGGGAATAGAAGTGGCCGAATGCTAAAAATACCTATTTTGAATAAGGCCCTAGAAAAAGGTGATGGGATCACTGTGGGGAAGCAGGGAACTAGGTGAGTGACCAAGCATTCCAACGGCATGGCTTCAGAGTTCTATACAGGAACATGTATAGAAAGGCCCTGACAGAGCTTGTGTGTTCTGCTGGCCCAGAGGGTGAAAACCTGGGTCACTTCTGTGCCAAGGTCTTCGTTAGAGACCTTTTCATTATGCTGTACAAATCCCTGGCAGGGGAAGAGGTATAGATTATAACAATCCAATGCCAATTAATATATTTAGTGCCTTTTGCAACCTTTACCGGCCTTTATAAATGAATTATTATGATCCAAATGGTTATGTGCAAGAAAATGCTTTCTTCACCAGGTATATATAATACAACAGTATCTTTACTTTTATGTGAACCAAAAAAATGCCATAAATCAAGAAATTTCATAGCAGTACTGAGGGTAATGTAGGATCTCTATATCTTAAAAAATAGGTTATTTTATGAAAATATCAGGATAATGTGATTACCAAATTCTTAATAGAAAAATTTTAGGATAACATGATTTTTCAAATGGCCATTAGTGAACTACAGTACCAGAGTGGGCATGGTGGTACAGTGAAATGAGCCCTGAAGGGATATGGGTTCAAATCCCAGTCCCACCACTTCTGAGCTCTGAGGTCCCGTCCAGCCCCAACCTGATGATCTTCTGATTGTGTTGGTCAGTCAGTCACTTTGAAAAGCTGTCTCACGGAAGGGCCAGTAGACTTGTTCAGCTTGGCCAAGAAGGCAGGATGTCAAACTTGCTAATCATAGGCTGTGCATTAGTGTAACACTGGGCTTCCTGGAGAGGTCGTCAAGCAGAGGCTGGAGTGGAAGACATTCAGGGATGTGTTGGTCGAGATGGCTTCTTCAACATGAGAGCCTGTGGTCACTCCACTCCTTCTAGTGATGGTACCAGAAGGGTAAAATAGAGACCTGGAGAGGTGGTCCAGTGGCATTGGTTAGGTGAGTGCCCCTATCTTTCTGGAAAATTTGTGAAATCATGTACAAATCAGCCACATAATATCTTCATTTTTTTCCTTTCAATTTTTATTCAAATAACTCTAGAGCAATAATAAACCCTGCCCCCCCCAAAGCTTACTTTAATGATCCTTTAGCTCCTTCTTTTCAAGTATATCCCCTTGCTTGGTGAATACTTGAGTAAAAAATACTGGCATAAAAAAATAGAAAAGAACAGCCCAAGCAAAACTTCCTAAAATAAACAATTTATTGAGAGGAAAAACAAAAACAAAACAACAAAACAAAAACAAAAACAAAAAAAACCTTTTTCATTAATTAGCTCTTGCATAACAAATCTGAAGCCAACCCCCCCCACCCCCCAAATAGGATAAAGGTTCACAGTCAGTGCACTCAAACAGGGTATTAAAAAACAAGGCCCAGCACGCCTGATAACACGACAACTTTTTCTCGAGCTTAGAAAGGTCAAAAATACTACGTATTAATATGACAGTCCTCCATCATGTGAAGGACGGAGCAGACAAAGAAGGAAATGGTCCATGTACAGTAGTAACGGCACTCTGACTTTCACACTCTGCAGACACGGTCGCACACGAGCATCATGTGCCACGTAAAACAGACGGGAGCAGCAGGAGAAGTGACGCTCGTCACCTGTGCAGTCTTCAGTTGTGGTAGGTTAAAAACGTTCGTAATGTTTCTCAACACAGTCTTCATGTAAATATTACATACAGTAGTGATTAAGAGAATCTGTCTGAGTACACACGCTACCAGGTCACATACTGAATAGCTTCATTCTTCATCTGTGCAAACCTGAAGAGGGAGGGAGAGAGAAGGACTGAAGAGGGGGCAGCTGGGGAAGGAACATCACTAGTTCTTGCAGAAAAGCCAGTATCACAAAGCATTACTGGCAACAGTAATTCTGTGTTTTTAGAATCCCACGTCACTAGAAATTACTTATATTTTCCAGCAAAGGAAAACAAAATCTTTGGCCATAAGTATCTTTACTGCCAAATGAAATTCAAACCTGAACATAATCACTCAAGTACATGAGACTGATGTGGATTGATGAGTTTTGAACTCACTTTTTAAAGTGTTTTGGATTAATGGCAGTAAATCATATTACTGTTTATGTGATAAAGCTGAGGTATGTTGATGTCTGCCCTCTCCCAAAGCACCACAACAATCAGCCAAACCTTGACAAACGAATGGTCGAGGAGCTGGCTAGCTGTCCATCTCATCTTTGGGTCACTTTCAAGGCAATGTGAAAGGAAATCTTTTCCTTCAGGGCTTATCCTTTCAGGGATGGGCGGCTTATGTCCCATTCCAACCTTATACATGATCTGAAAGTTGTGCTCGTACTCATGCCAAGGCCTCTATAAAAAGATAAAATTCCACTTTTAGGCAACCTTCTCACACAAAATGCCCAGGTGCATTTATTAGGCTATTTGATTAGTTATGCAAAGTTCCTACATTAATCATATCAGTGGCTTTTACTATAGAATTTCCTATTATTCTACTGAAATCACATTTTTAGGCAACAATATACGAAGAACTAAATATCAAGGAGTGCAATGTAGACATAGAAAAATAATTAGTAATATATAAAATCACACTTCTCTTATCAGGCTGCTTATCTTGCTACTGGGATTTTTTTAAGCAAATTACCCCCAAATAATACTAATGTAAATCTTATTCATGATACTGGCCACTGAAAGCATATTCTTCATTATAATTGTAAAAGATTATTTGGCAACTAGAAAAAAGACCAAGTTAGCAACTGTTTCAAATTTTAGGTGAAATGCAGACAGTAAAGTGAGGGATGACAATTTTCCCTTCAAGTCCCTATATGTTTGGTTCCTGGAAAATTAAATTTTAACCAACCAAATTTTCACCAATTTTAACAACAGGATGCATTTTTCAGTAATAATCATAAGAGCTGACATGTATATAGGGCTTATTACATTCTAAGCACCGTGCCGAGTGATTCGCTATTATTCTCTCATTTGATCCTCACGACAACTCTGGAAGGTAGGTGCAATTATGATGATGATGATTTTTTTTTTTGGCTGGGCGATGGGACTAAGTGACTTGCTCAGGGCCACAAAGCTTGGGCCAAGGTGATGACAGTATCACAGGAGAGAAGGGGGCATGGGTGAAAGTTATTGTCTGATAAAAACTTTAACAAATGACATTTCCAACAGCATCCCAGGAATCATGATAAGATCACATATGTAGCTATGACATATGTGATGCAGTTTAGTGTTTGAGCTAATACTCAAAATTAACAAGATGATAAAGAAACAAGTGCTTGTTACTGACATCACAAGTCTTAGAATCCTCACGAGCAGCCTCTGAAGTAAGTAGTGTAGACATTTTTACTTTACAGACAAGGAAACTGAGACACACAGAAAAGTTAAGGGACTTGCCCATGGAAACAAGAGAACCTTTACCACAGCTTGGCTTGGAGTCCACTGATTCTAGGTCTCTAGTGAGTTGTAGAATGAGGAGCATCTGATTTAAAAGTAGGCAGGGCCGTTTTCTCTTTAAAGGGGCAAGAAGGCCATTCTTAGTACTTGACTGGTCTGGGGTATTGGGACTTAAACTTCCTATGGTGCTCCATAGGCTTGACAGAATTCACACTGCAGTGAGTGTCACCACACCTCTCTGGAGGCTGCTATCATGACAGATAGGAAGCAGAGGGAAGCCTCATACACCTGAATTAACGTTGTATCCCTTATATAAATAACGTTTATCCCTATAAAATACTCAGTAATCAAAAGAAGATAAATATGAGTATTTTATAGCCTCTAGTCATCTCAATTTACTCCTCTGTTTGGCATTTAACTCTTCACCATTTGATCTCAGCCTACCCTTTCCAACTTTACTAGTAATTACTCTATTCCACAGAATCTATGATCTGCCCTATTAACCATTTTGCTGCTCCTCACACTATACTCCCTCTCCTTCCCTCAAGGTTCAGAGGAAGCACCACCTTGAGCATGAAGCTTATTCTGGTCCCCTCCTTGTGCCTTCATATCCAAGGCTACCTTGCATCTGCTTTCTCTATACATACACAGTTGAGAGGCAAGGACTAGTTTTGTTTTTGTCCCAGTAAAGTTCCTGGCACGTAGTAGCAATAAATGACACTATCAAAATATTTCCTTAGAAGCCACTTAACTTAATTTTGCTATACTTGATGCCTTGTGATGCCTGACAAAACTAGAACCCAAAAAAGGAAGTGATAAAAGGCAAAATCGACTTTCCTTTATCCAAAGGAAATATGTAGTACTATATGTGTAAGCTATCAAAAATGAACCATCAAACTTATTTATATCAGTTTTAGGTGTGTGGGGGATTAAAATAAGAGCCAACATTTTTCTATTTCAATTATGGACACACTCAATCTTTTCTCTTTTACTTGAGTCAAGACAATGATACCTATTAAGGAGGCTTAATCATGTTTACATCTAGCAGAAAATGGGCTTAATGAATAATAAATTTGATTACTAAATTGGTCACTGAAATTTTTTCCTCAATGAGTAAGTATGTGCACAATGCTTACCTTACCAGTAACCATTTCTATCACAACACAACCCAAACTCCAGATGTCTGCTGCACGCCCATGTCCTTCTCCTTTTGCTCGAGTAATGACTTCAGGCGCCATGTATGCTTTAAAACAATGTACACACGATCTGAATGTATAGAAAGCTCAAAGGAGATCACAGTTTAGCCATGACTGGATAGATAGCACATTTATTTTTCTTGTCCTCAAGATGACAGTCTATAGCAGAGGAGGTCCTTCGTCACGTGACTCTCAGGCCAGCCCCCTCTCTACCAATGTGCTTTGAAGTATATAACTTTATACTTATATCTGTTATTCACAGATAAAAAAAATACTCTTAAATATCTGTATAATAAGTGAAATATGAAAAAATGTAATGGAGGTTAGGGCTATGAATGAAAATTTGAAAGTTAAGATATGCATATTAAGATCTAAGCTCATTTGTTAGTAGGGATTGCTTTTGTCTCTCTGCTTGGCACATGGTAGGGCTAAATCATTATTCTGACTACACTGACTGAAGACAGGATGCAGTACATAAAGAGGATAGGAACCAGACCTGTGGTTTCACCTCCACCGAAGCAGATGAGCATTTTCTCTGAAACATACAGTCTTAGAGAGTCACTGGGAACACTGAGACACTAATAACTTAGCTGAGATCACACATTCAGTGTATCTCAGATGCAGGACTTGAAACCAAGTCTTCCTGGCTTCAAAGCCAGCTCCCTATGCTATGTTATTTCTATAAATGGTTAAAATATACATCTATAATTACAGTTTTCATTTTTCAAAAATTAAATCAGAATTTTAACATGAAAAAATTTTTGAATGGAATGTTTAAAAGGAATTGTTCCTATTAAAGTATAAGTATTGTCAAGTCATTAGGTTTTGTTGTTTTTGCTTCCACCTGTTTGCGCCCAAGTGGCTCAGCTCAGGACAGCACCTCGTTCTGCTGCCTCTTCCCCATACTAACTGTGAGATGGGACAGAAAGATGCCCCCTGGTAAAGTGGAAGTGATAGGAATCTTGGAATAAAATGATCACAACAGCTTACAATTCATGATAGATAAATCATGTACCTTGAAACTCAAAAGACAATTTTAACAAGCTAAGAGAAAAGGTAGGCCTAATATTTTAATCTCATGGAAGCTGATCAAAGAGGGACTAGGTGCTTTCAAGAAATTCTGACACAACTGTAAAGATGAAGGAAAAGGAAGGAACATAAAGCAACGAGTTTAGATTTTAAAGCAATGTATCTAAATGTGACAGAAATGCAGGAAAACAATTTAAAAATATGTAAAAATTTTTGAATGGAATGTCAGAACCAACTGAGGACAAATGCAAAAAGAGAGTGGCATGGTCATATAAAAAGAGTTTCAGGAAGGCTAAAGCCTGAAATGAAATGAGACATAAAAAAATGATGCTAACAAAAATAGCCTCTTAAAGAAAGAATGCTCAGAGGAGATGGTACTATGCGAAGAGATGTTCAGAGAGGACGGAAATACCTTTTTATTTTGCTTTTGTTTTCTCTAAGAAGGAGAATGATCTACAGCTTGGAAGATGATGCACAGAAATGATTAAGAGTGAACTGAAAACCCAGATAAGTGAGGAGGCTAAGCTGCCTTTCATGTGCTAAAAATCATATGGCTCAGATGAATTATTTCCAAGGGTATATAACTTAGTGGACTGTTATTGATTATTTTTGAAGACTTGTGGAGAATAGAAGAGATGCTACAAGATTAAAGACAAACATCATCTGTTTCCAAAAAAGAGGAAGGAGGCAGATTTACATATAGTGCATATATTTCCAAGCTGAATTTTAGAAGGAATAGTTAGCGAGCAATTAGGTAGGAAAGCAGTGATCACTAAGAAGCGCTATAGATTCATTAAGGCCAAGTCATATTAGGTCATTAATTTCAACCAACAGGCTTCCTGGAATAGCAAATCAAGGAAATGCTACAGACACTGTACTTGGATTTTAACAAGATATTTGACAAAAGTCTCTTGTGATATCTTTCTAGACTAAGTAGAAAAATGAAGACCCATTAACATTTAGGTGTGTTTGGAACTAAATGTCCAGATTCAAAGAGTGTTGAAACATGAAGGAGGTTCAGTGGCTTTTTTTTTTTAAATCAAAGACCTCAACACCCAATCTGCTAAGGACATGAAACAGAAGAAGATATCACAAAGGAGAACAGAACCAGGATTTCCAAAGCTCTGGACAAGTCAGAATGATGGGCTGAATCCCATAAAAGAAAAGTGAGAAGGGCAAAGGTAAAAGCCTACAAAGTAATAACTTCAGTCACTGAGATGTGGCAGCCTGTGAAAGACCTGGAGACTTCAGTAGGGGAATGAAGCTCTCCATGAACTAGCAGTGTGACAGAGTAACCAGGGAAGCTAACAAGGGCATGCACTGAACTAATTACATGTGGTACTGAGAATACAGAAGGCAATGGTCCTCACTGAACTCTCCTGGTCAGGCCAAACATGGAGCATTGTGTTGAGTTTGTAATGTCACGTTTTAGAAGGACAGGGGCATATCTAGCGGCAAATCAGATAAAAACAGTGTGAAAAGAATGGAAACCATGCCATAGAAGTGCAGATTCAAAGAAACTGCATTTTTTTTAGACTGAGGGAAAAGAACACTGAGGAGGGGAAGCACTGATATTTTCCAATAAGAAGGGTTATTTTTGTGGAAGAGGAGAGCTCCTTTTGTTTGGTCCTACAAGGTACAACTAGAACCAGGAGGCAGATTTTTGTTCAATATAAGGAAGAATGTCCTAACAATCAGAGCTGTTCAGAAATACAATGGGCTGCTTTAGAAGATGGAGGGTTTCCTGTCACTGGGGGTGTTGAAGCAGAGGCTAGAGGACCACTGGTCAGGGATGTTGTAAAGGGAATACAAGTTTCAGGGAAAGACTGGATGAGATGACCGCTAAGGTCCCCCTGAGAGTATGTGACCTGATGAGCACGTTTACTTACCTGCAGTTCCTAGGGTACTGTTCACTTCTCCAGGCATGGTTTGTGCATTGTTCTTTAACTTGACTGAGCATCCAAAATCCCCCAGTTTAATTAGTCCAGATGAGGTAAGGAAGATATTGGCTCCTGAAAAAGAACCAATAGTAGCTGCATTACTACTACTACTAATTTAGATTGCTTACTTACACCATGCAGAATTGTTGGCCAGCTCAAGATTTCACAAGCAACCACCAACTACCCTAGAACCCAAGGAGTTTCACTTATGTATCTCTGTGAAGCAGTAGAGACTGTCTACCATACATCTATAACCAGTATATAAAAGACCACACCATTGTTAAAGGTAAAGATGTGTCATGTCATGATTAACAAAATATTCTACAGGCTACTTCAGTAGCCCTGCATAATCTCAGAAAAGTGAGACCCTCACTATAGAGATTCAAATGTTTTGACTTTGCCCAAGGCCATCTGTGCCAATGACACTGCTACATAATTTATAGGAGCTACACAGATGGTGGCAGTTGTCAGGAGAGGAGGCTACCTATGGACTTCAGAATATGACTGAAAAAAGAGCATGCTAAAAGCTCTAGTCCTTGTACAAGTAATGAATGTGTAGTATGTACCTTTCACCTACTCCATGTATATCTTTATGTACTCATCAGAATGAAGCTCTTTGAAGGCAGAGGCTGTTTTTGCTTTTTCTTTGTATCCCCAGCATGACACAAAGCAAGTACTTAATACACGCTTATTGACGGACATTTTCTACATGGCAGATGGGGTCAATAACAGATTGAAGCAACTGCAGGTCTTGTTTTCCTTATCAGAAGATAATATGTTTTTCTCAATATGAGACATACCAGCTTTTAATACTATCATTCCAGCATGTTAAGTTCCATTACCCACTTCCTAAAAACTAAGGCTGTACTACACTGATTAAATTTATACTTCAATCAGTCAGTCAGTTAACACTTATTAAGTGCTTATTATGTTCCAGGGACTTTGCTAAACACTGGGGATACAAGTACTCAAGGAGTTTATAGTCAAACAAGGGGTATTTATGACAAGTGGAATCTGAAATAACTGAGGAAACAAAGATACAGGCTTTTGATCATATCAATATATTAAGCAATACATGCCATTTGCATAGCAAACTGGGACTAGGCCTCTTCAGATTAGCATTGGACCCTGAATACGGTGGCAGAGAGATTTTTATGCATTAAAAGAAAACAATTAACAGGATATAAACCAGGATATAAGATTAAGTAATCTGACTGCAAAAAAAGAAAATAATTGTTGAAGCACAGGAGGATAAGCACATTAATGTACTTCCGATAGAGTTGTGAATTAATCAAATCTGGAAACGTTTAGAATTTTACCCCCAAACTTACTATCACATGCATATATGCCTCTTTAATCTAATGATAACAATACTATGCCTATACTCCCGAAGAGATCAAAGAGGAAAAGAACCATACATAAAATAGTATTTACAGTAGTGCTTTTTGTTGTAGCAAAGAACTAAAAATTAAGAGCATGCCCATCAATTGAGGAATGGTGGAAGACTTAATTGTAACAACATTGTTTTGCATTGACCAGAATTCTTATTAAGTCTTTCAGTGACTGACTTTAACTCCACAGGATTCAGGAAGCATGCTACCTACCACCTGACAGAAAGGTGAGAGCCTAAAGATCCAAAATGACACCTTCATTTTTGGACATGGCAAATAGGTGGATTTGTTTTTGTTTAACTATAAGTACTTGTTATATGAATTGGCAGGAAGGAGGCGGGGCTCTGAGGAAGAAAGATAAACTCTAGGGATAGCGTTGTCCTCTACCAAAAAGAAGAAAGTTACTGAGGCATTTTTAAAATATGCACAGAAGGTATGAGAAGGAAATACAAATAACACGACAGCTTTCAAAGTAACACGTTAAATTATTACATACTTTTAAAAAGCAAGCTCTGTATAACAGAGATTTGTGGTTACACATATAATCCTCTTTGTTCCATTTTATAGATGGAAACGTTCATTTCTGTGGGGCAAGGGGTGCTTATTAAGGATAAAATTAAAAAAATTTAGAATATGTACAGGCAACAGAAGTATGCATGACTGATGAAAACAAGAGTGACACAGTTCTACAATTACTTTATCAGAAGCATGAGGAAGATCAAAGAAAAGCTATGTCAAGTCAATGCTAATAGACAGAGAGGAAGCGGGTTCTTAAGATTCTTATATTCTATTTTTGCTATAAAGGAGAATAATCTTCATATGGGGAAGGAAAATAAAGGGAATTAAAAACCCAAATATCTGAGCTAAGAGAAGCCCTGTCCTGAAATGAGATCAAAACAACAGGGACAAACATCCCAGGCGCAGTGAAAGAGATGATGGCTGAGCCTTGAGCCAGGGTCAGTGATCTCTGAACAAAGAAACAAAGGACAAATGGGGGTGGGGTGGGGGTGAGGTTCGCCGGCCTGGAAGGAAGCTCATAGTGTTGAGATTTTCAAAACCAAAAATGCTATCTATAGTCTTCCAATTTTTGGATGACGAAACGGATTTGAATTTCTTATGAAATTCTAACAAAATTAACATTATTAAAAGGATGTTTTTTGAGCATTTTCCAAAAGAAGTGGTGATCACAAAAGGCTAGCATTGGGTTCGTCAAAAACATTATGATAGATGATTTTATAATAAGAGTTATTTATAGTAACAGATCAAGGAAATACTGAAGATGCAGTGTACCCAGATTCCAGCAGCAAGGCTTCTCAGATAGTCTGTTTTGCTCCCTTGTGAGCAAGAAATAGAGATGTGAACCACAAGAGTTGTGGATTTAGAAATGGCTGAATGATATAACCTAAGATGTAATGACTGATGATAGCCTGAATGGTACAAATGTCCATGGGATTTCTTTGACTCTGTGCTATTCAACATTATCACCAATGATTTATGTGAAGATGAAGAAGGATATTTATAAAATGTACAGATGACTCAAAGATAGGAGGGATATCTTTACATGACAGATTAAACAAACAACTTTAATAACATGATAATAAAAGACTACACATCTACTTGCTCAGATGAAAGTTTGTGTGAAAAATTAGGAGACTAAAAGTCACATCTAACATGGCAGCCAAAAAAGACTGGTGTAGTTGCGATCAAAGAGGTAGTGTCCACAATGGAAGTCCCACTGTTCTCTGCCTTGGTCAGATGTCTGTGATAGTGTTTCCAGTTTGGGATAACAAATTTTAGGAAGACCACTAACTAGTTACAGCATACAAAGGCAGTTCACTACCAGGTTACCATAAGATGATTTAAGGGCTGGTAAAGGTAACTGAGGGAGTCAATTTAGTCTAGAAAGCTGAAGAATCGGTAGGAATATAAGTGCTATTTTCCAAGTGTTTCAAGGGCTGTTCTTCATTCATTCATTTATCCTGGCTCCTGAAGGCAGAACTAAAAGCAACAGGTAGAGAGGCAGATTTCAGCTAAATGCCAGGAAAGCCTTCACAAACAGAATTGTTCTTACTTTGTGAAACTTTAGGGAGGGGCTTTGGGAGGTGGATGCTCCTTAGGAGATTCCCGTTCAGCTAGATCCACTATGAGGCCTTTACCCGTGATTCTGTAAATCAATATTTACAGAGCAGGATAAAGAGGTTTTGGAGATGTGTGCATACAGAATTATATCTGCAAATATACCTACATGCATGTGCTCAGGACAACCAAGCAATAGTAACAGAATGGCTTTAGCAGTGTTCTAACACTGCTCAATGGCCTTACGCATCAGCCTGACATACACCATTGGAAGATGACACATAGGTCTAACTGGTTAAGCCAGTCCTGGAACTAGATGTGGTATCTGTGTAAGACATCATTTATTTGTGTAACTGAAACTTATAGAATTAGGCACTGTGATGGCTTTGCAAAAGACAATTCAAGAAATGTCCAGGATGGTATATGACTCTAGTGTGGTCAGCTAAAATCTGGCAATATGCTAGTCCACTCAGGATGACCCAGCCCTGAACTTTTCCAAACCTGCTATCTTCCTGGTGGCCAGTGCTAACCAGAAGGTTTGTAACAAGACCAAGGAAAACAGAGAAATTTTGTCTAGTGCAGAACAGCCCCCAGAAGTATGGTGAGAAGACTGGATTTTAGCTTGGCTTTCTCTAAAATATTGGAACAAATACTTGACATACCTCATGGCTTCTAGATCCAAATGAAGTGGAAAAAGATACAAGTCCTGATTTCCAAGATCTCTGCATTGTGCAATTATGGCAAAGCATATAGCCTGGCCCACAATGGATTTGAATTCTACAAGCTGACTCTCAAGAGCTAAAGAACAGGGTCATATCCTTATGACAAAGTATCACTTCCTTCTCCTTCCCCCTCTCCTCTCTAGTTAAAGAGCTTACCTTTGATGTCACGATGAACTATGCCATGCTCATGCAGTACATTAATAGCAATGGTGATCTGCTTTGAGTACAGCCGAATAACATGTTCTTGAAGGCCCAGCCTTGACACTTCTTCCAGGGTGCCCTCATCACAGTATTCCATGAAAATGTACATTTCTTCCTGGGGTGGAAACCAAGTACAACACTATTATCTTCTTCAAATGTGAAATAAGTACAAATGTTCATTCTGGGCAACTTATACACAAGTCCTAAGTAAATCTCCTTTCTAATGGTGTCATACTACTCTTATTTTCTGCATATTTTTAAAATGCTTGTTGCTAACTCTTCTATAAGGACTTCTCCTGCCTGTCTCTGTCTGGAATTATATAGCGATTTGGGTAATACCACCTCCTACAAAAGACATAATAAATCTCTGCAGTCCTCCCAAATTCCGACTGCTTTATAATCTCAGACAGGGACCAGCAGGACTTCCCATAGGATATATTATTAAGTACTGAAACACATCCTTTTCCAATTTGAAAATTATTAAGAAAATATAAAAAGGAGCTGAATCCAACTTCCCCCACAGTTCATGCTGAAATGAGGTACCCCAGCAGTTGGGCTCTTTTCCTCAATGTCTTTGCATCTACTCTTAAGGGGAAGAAGTTTCTTTGGTGATTTTAAAAGTATATTTTACATCTTCTCTCACTTCACAAATGTTTAATTTTAAGTAGAAGAAAAGTTTAACCAAGTCAAAGACACTTAATGGTCACTGGTTCAGGGGGAAAAAAAACAAAAAACAAAAAACAAAGTAAGTTCTTAGGAAAAAGGATACTTAGATGAATCTTCTGACTGGCAGGATGGGTTTCAGTGCTTTATAATGTCGGGTTAATGACTACAATCTACAACTTACATTTTAGGAAGAATTCCTCTAGTTTCAGAGAGAAGGCAGAAATGATGTAACTCATGGAGATTTCCTTATAATTAGGCAAAGTTACTGTGCTCTGAAATGAGAAGACCTGTGATGTAGAACAGGACTCCATTTGTACCCTTACTGATTCCTCACTCAGAATTGTGTGTGTGATTAATGTTGGCTTACTCTATGAAGTTCCACACCAAAATACCGAACCAGATTGGGATGCTTAATGCCTTCAAATATTTTCAGTTCATCTGCAGTCTCTTTGATAGTTTTGTGGTCATTTGGCTGAAATCGAATCTGCAAAATTGAAATGTCGATTACTGTTGCTATCATGACAAACTAGAAAGCTGTAATGTGAAATAATAGCGTTGCAAAGCCATCTGTTGGCATATTCTGGTATCACTGAAAAGAAAAAAAAAGCAGTATAATTTGCAGCAATGATTGTGGATTTTTTAAAACCACAACTAAATTCCAAATATAGATGTTTTTATTACAAGCATATTAACATCTACTTTTTAGTATTCAGTAAAATACTTTTCTGGTAGACCATTAATATTTATTAAGCACACAGGGTACCAGAGGTACATCTTTAGGACATGCTTTTTGCCCTTAAGGTGCTTACAATTTAATTGAGAAGACAGGATGTACTTATAAAAAGAAAACAATACTGGCTAGCACATGCTGCCAGATGCCAGATAAGAAGCACAAATAAAGGCCCTCAAAACCAGAAAGAGTTTATGGAGTCTGTTTATTATGGATTGGTCTAATGACAGAAGGATTCACGGCAGAGAGATTAACTGAATCTGAACACAAGCAAGAGTTTCTAAGGCAGGTAGGACTGAGATGAGTGGGAAAGACAGGGAAAAGGTATGGAAGCAGAAATGTGGATAGTATATGGGATGCTCCATGAGGTAGCTAGAGTAGAATTTATATAGTGGAAGAGAATCAGGTGAGCATCAGGCTAAGGAGTCTGGGCTTTATTCTGAAGGCTGCTCAGAATCACTAAAAGTTTTCAGCAAGGTTATGCCATGAATAAAGGAAAGTATGGGGAAGATTTAGTCAAGAGCAATATACAGAAATGGCCGATGAGTAGAATTAGAAGTATAAAAGACCATAGAGAAGCATCAATGCCAACCGTTTCATTTTACAGATAAGAAAACTCAAGCCCAGAAAGGGGACGGTGAATGTGTATTACCCTATCAGTGTTCTATTTTTTTTTTAAATCTTTGATTTTAAATTGGTATAAAGAAGAACAAGTCTACGCGATTTTCTTTGAATGTCTCAGAAAACACCAGAAGTGGTTCTTTATAAAATTTCTAACCAAAAAAACTTAAGGCATTAATCCTACCCCAATGTATAAACTCTGCCAGGGAAGGTGGAATACTCACTTCCTTCATTGCCATCAATTCACCAGTATCAACGCTGATACAAGTATAGACTTTTCCATACTGGCCTTCTCCTATAAACAAAAGGGAAAAAAAAGTAATTTCTTATATTTTACAGAGTGTGAGCTGGAAGGGACTATATATAGTTCAACCCTTTTATTTTAGAGATGGGGACAATAAAACTCAGAAAGGTGAAATGGTCCCAGTGGTACAGTCTGTCAATGGCAGAGTCAAGAATTAGGAGCTGGGACATAGGTGAAGGCAAAATAACTTCAGAAAATTATCATAAGGTCATCTCAGAATTCTCCAGTAAACCAGATATCGATCAACACCGTCATCACCACTTTCATCTCAGATGAAACATACTGTTATTTTCAAAATGGCCTGTTGGCTGGCCAAAAGGCACAAGACAGCATTCTCTAGAGAATTTTCATGCCAAGATACTTAAACTTATCATGATGCTCTAACATTTATAATTACATAGTTATAGCTCTGTTATATCTATTTCTGTTATCATTTACGTTTCTTTCATAATGTTACCCAGTCAGAAACCTTGTAGATAAGCCCCTTCATCTCCCATGAATGAAAAGGAATGTGTGACAGTCAAATTCTATGACTGAACTTTTGCATTTATTCATATGGTTCAATGAAATGCACTGATCACTGACATGCTTTCTATTATTCTTTAATATAAGCCTGCTGTTACTTGCAAATGTTTTAAAAGAAAAATGCTATACAGGACGTAAAATTAAAAAGATTCCTAAATTTAGGTGAGCTTCACAGTTTCATAATTCCATCTCTCATAATTAGATTTCAATGTCTAGGGACAAATGAGAAGAGAACCTCTGACAACTACAGATAGATAAAGGCTTCTTCACCAAACAAGGGATACAGAGGCTCAGACAATTTTCATTACATAAAACTGAAAAGCTTTTGGGTAAACAAAATCAATGCAATCAAAATGAGAAGGAATACAGTTGAACTTAAAAGAAAAAACTCTGACCTCTTAGGAAATGGCCCTTATTTTTCAGAGAAATATACTGAAAGAATATGAACAAGCAGTTCTCAAAGCAAGCTATCAACAACCATATGAAAAATTCTCCAAATTACAAGCAATAAAAGAAATACAAATTAAAACTATCAGAAAAAAGGAAAATGAGAAATTCTGGAGGGCCTGGAGAAAAGCAAGGCAATGCATTATTGGTGGAGCTGTGAACTGGTCCAGTCATTCTGGAAGGTGACTTGGAATTATGCTCCCAAACTCACTTAATTGTGTAAACTCAGACTTCAAAATACCACTACTAGGCCTGAAGAGATCTGAGAATCTAAAAGGACTCATTATGTAAAAATATTCATAGCAGCAAAAGGTGCCTGTATTATAGAAAAGAACGGGAAACTTAAGGAGGAGGCCATCAGTTGAGGAAAGGTTGAAAATAAAATATTATTATTTTATACATAGGAAATGATATGGTTTCAGGGAAACCTTGGAAACCTGGGAAGGGAATAATTTAAATATGAGAAACCAAAATGTACGTAGGGAGAAAAAGGAATGGGTTTTTACAGGAGAGCAAGATGTTCTCCAGACAGATCTTCACATTCTGTACGAACTGATACAGAGTAATTTGCATGGAACCAAATGAACAATTTATACTATGATAACGACACTAAAAAAGACAAACAAAGACTTAACTCTGTCACTACAATGGCCAACTAGGACTCCAGACAATGAAGAAGCGTGCATCACACTCCCTGACAAGGTTTAGAGGAAAGCACACATTTTGGGGCATCAGTGTGTGGATTTGTTTTGTTCGAATGTGATTGTTTGATACAAAGAAGGGTATTTTTATTTCTTTTATTGGGTAGGGAGAAGTGAGTAGTAATAGATAGTGATGACAAAAAAAAAGAAGAAACAGTGTCAATGAACCATTTAAAAAATGCACAGAAAAGAAAAGGAAGTTCAGAGGGAGACAAGAGATGAGCAAGGCAATTCTGGAATGGAACTAACATTGAAGTTATCATATATAATTACCCTTTCCCCATCACAGTTCTGATATATTGCTGTTGGGATTAATTAAATGGGAACTTTTTCGGAGTTTTATGGAAGCTGCAGACAACACGTGAAGGCCAACAGATTACACAGAAAAAGTTAAGAAATTCAGAAATGCACAAAATATGTATAGTATTTTACTTAACCTTGACCTATGACCAAATACTTAACCCAAATTTTACAATAAGGTATTGTAAACACCCCATAAAAGAAAAAGAAAACATTCAGACTTCTCTAGTACGAAGGGCCAAAAAATTTTATGCAGATTTTCCAGGTAGTGGGGGGCACCATGCTCCTAACCCCCATGATGTGTAAGTGATAACTGTACTTTATATGGAACTATTCGTATTTCTTGTTATTCTAATACAAAAACAACTCTAGAAAGAGACAACCTTCTGACAACCTATTCCCTTGCCTATCCTCGCTCCTTCTCCCCACAGCCAACGTGAAGGCTTTCCTTTCATTTAGATATAACTAGGAATACTGGAGAGTTCTGGAAAACACTCACTAATTTAATTTCTGTGAAATTAAAAATTTAAAATAAAATTAAGTTTCTATTTTACACAAAAATAGAAACAAAATGCAACCATGAAACTTCTCTGTATATAACATTACATACTGCTTTGGAATAATAAGTTCAAACACCTGTACAAATCACCTGGAAATAATTTAATTATGGCAATTAGGAAGATTTTACTTCATTTGTTCCTCAATCATATCTAGTCTTTTATCCATTTTCATTGAAATACATACATGGTACACAGCATTAATCTCTTGGTAAATATAGCATTTACTCTCTTCTGAGAAATCATAAAAGGGAAGAATCTTTGATTAAAACTAGTCAACTCATTATCTATATTAAATATTTGTTTCTAAGCTTTAATGTTCATTATTTTTAAAGAATATTTTACAAGGCTCAATCATTATTTTCCAAATAAAGATGAATGGGAGGAACAACCCCAACTATCTGGCTACAGAGGATGGTGGATTTGCATGGATAAGAGAATGGATCTTTTATTCTAGTAATTACAGAGGGAATGGATCTAAAAAGAAAAAACCTGGCACATCTATCAGCACAGTTAAACCAAGATGGATCAAATATAAACACTAAGTTTTGACATTTAGAAAGTAAATATGCAAAACATTATTTGCTTCTCCTTTCTCCCCCTTACCAATTTTGTTTCCTCTTTGCCATTTGAAGGTCACCTTCCGTAATCCCACGTGCATGACATTATCATAGGATTTGGGGGTATCACAAACTTGACCAATGATATTCTTCCTCCTCATTTCTCGATAACGCTTTTCTTCAAACAATCGAACTGACTTCTGAACAGCTTCTATGGGTCCTTGTTTAGAAGCAGTATCTGGGGAGAAAACCTCCTTTAGTTCCAAACTCCTAATATGTACATAGATATACTGGTATAACACTGCAAGTCAATTTCTAACAAAAACATTTTGAAGGAGTTTTATATACAGGATTCTATGTAAGCTGTTCTAACAATACCTGAAATGCAAGGTCAGACTAAAGACACAAAGGCATTGTAATCAGCCTAAAAGGATGATTTAACTAGTTCAACACTACACGGTCTTTACCCACTGATCCTACTGCTGGTCAGTACTACTGGAAGGCCTATAATCATGCTCACTGGGTCTATTACAAATGAGGCACTCACTGCAGCAAGGTGATTCTTTACTCTACTCCTCTCTAATTTATTCTATGATACCCCACAGTGGCTGTCCCAAACTTCCTTGTCTCTCCTCAAGCCTGCCTCTATACGCTCTTCCCTCAACCTCTTAGCTAAGATCATCTCATATTTTACTGCAACTGTCAATTAAGCATTTAAGAATTTATCAGGGGCCAACTGTGTGTCTTGCATTGTGCTTGGCAGTGTGGATACAAGTACACAAAATAATAAAACCCCTACTTGTAAGGATAAAGCTTGTCCCTTCTAATGGGGGGAGACAAGTACATATTAAAAACACATACAGCATAACACAAATGGGATAAATACAAATTTATACAAAACAGCTCGACAGAAGGTGGTTTGGGAGGGAGGCCACTTGAAAATGTGCAGATAACGAAAAGCTTGAAGCAGAAGATGGTGCTTGAACTACACCTCAAAAGAAAGTGTGGACTCTCAGAGCCAAAGGACAGGAGATACATTATAGGCACGCAAGCCCAACGCCAAGGTACAGAGACCTGAGACAGAGCGTACTGTGAGAGGAACAGACAGAAGGACAGTTTGACAAGATAGTTCAATACCTAGGGAGAGGATGAGGTCAAACATGGCCCTGTTGTGAAGGGTTTTACAAACTAATCAAGCAAGCTTACACTTGACCCTAGAGGCAATGGAAACCACTGAAGTTGGTTCTCTAAGGGAGTCACATGGCCAGAGCAGTGCTCAAGGAAAATTACTTTGGCAGCCAGCCAGCCAGTCAACCAGCATTTATGAAGAGTACCATGTGCCTTTACCTTGGAATAGAAAGAAAGGAGCTCACAGCCTAAGGAAGGAAACAACATGCGAATAACTGCAGTCAAACAAGATATATACACAAATTGCTTTATTTTTTAAGTTAAATACTAAACTTTGTGCAGCAAGTTGTCTTTGTGTGTAGTCTGAGGTTTCTATGCTGCCCAGCATGGGGCCCTTTTCCACCATAAAGCTGAACAGAGCCATAAGATTGTTGACGCTGACCAAACCAGATTCCTTGCATCTGAGTGGGAAAGACAAAACCTTGTACTACATTTAAATCTTCCAATGGGAATTATCATATACATACTAGGAAGTTTAACAGCCACCTCCATACGGAGACATCTTAGGTCATATGCATATATGTATGGCATCTGCTTAGAGATGATTGTTAAACTCATGGAAACTGAAGTTACTAAGAGAGTCTAGTTCAGAACCTTTGGGGAATAGCTACAATTAAGGAGTGTGATATAGGTAATGAGCAAAAAAAAAAAATATGGAGGAAAATTGGATAGATAGGCAAGCAGAGAACCAAGAGAGAATAGTATCATGACAACTGAGAAGTGTACTTAGGAGGCTAACATGGTCAGGAGTATCAAATGTAACAGTCAGATAGAAAAGGACAAAGATTAAGAGAAGACCATTATATCTGGCAATGAAGAGATCACTGGTAACTTTGCAGAAAGCAGTTTCAATTGAATAATGATGCTAGAAGCCACAATGCAAAAGGTTGAAGTATGAGTGAGGGGAAGTGTAGGTAGGAAATTTACACAATTTTTTTGAAGGAGTGTGGCTGGGAAAGAAAGGAGCAATAAAGAACATTAATTTGAAGGGATGGTACACTCTGGTGAATGGTACAGTCCAGAACAGAGGATACTTGGGAATGTCTGGAGGCAAAAAGGAAGGAACCATTTGATAAGGAGATGTTAAAAACATGAATAAGGATGCAATCTAATGAAGCAAAGTGGATGGGATCAAGAGCACACGTGGAGAAATCGGCCTTAGCAAGAAAAGCCACCTTTTTGTCAGCGACCTGGGGGAAAGGAGAAAATGGGAAGTGAAGTCAAGGAATTTTGAATTGGCTTCCAGCCCCATCCCCACAAGCCATCAATGAGGGGAGAAATCATTGTGGACAAGAGGCCCACTTTCTTCATCAGCAACAACCAGACAGACGCAGAAGCCCTGAAGTGGCAGTACCCCTCAGACCACCAGTCCTGCCTCCAATTCAACCCTCATTTGGGGAAGTAACTCCCTATCCGGCCAATGGACCCAGACAGTTCTGGAGGAGAAAGTAAGGCTGGTGACCCTGCACAGCCCTCTCTCACTTAAATCAAAGTCAATTGCAAGTCATGTCATCATCTCCCTGATGTCACGGTCCTTTTTGAGAATGAAGGACAAACACAATCTGTAAGCTGCCTGAACGATTCAGTTGGTCGAGCCCTCTCCCTCTTCTTCTCTCTGGGATTTACTGGCTAGATTTCTTTTTCAAAGACCAAGCCTTAAACCCAATTCACTCTGTAGCTCGTAGACTGGACAATAATAGGTCCCTGCCCAAGAACCACTTAATGGTTCTTTTTTGGGACCTCCTGGCTCAGAGTGAACGTAAATAGTAACTTTCTCTTTTGGCCAGCAACCCTGAGGGTCTTCCCCTTCTAGTTTAATTTTTTTTTTTTAATTAAAGAGGCCATCCCTTGACTCACTTCTTAAAGAGGCCTATTCACTGAATGGGCATTACCTCACTCAAAGTGAGAATCTGAAAAGACCTTAGCTTAAAAGGGCCAGGGTCTCCCACTGCATCCTGGGCCATCTCCAGTTATCCACATGAATATCTGGTCACTGGACCCAGATGGCTCTGGAGGAGAAAGTGAGGATGGTAACCTTGCACAGCCCTCCCTCACTCAAATCAAAGTCAATTGCAAGTCATGTCATCATCTCCCTGACGTCATAGTCCTCTTCAAGAATGAAGGACAAACCCAACAACAGAAGGCAGCATGTACTAAAGCAAGTTAAACCACCACCATCTTCCTTCAGAACCTGATGGAGAGAGTCCAAGATCCTGAAACCAAGAACCTTAAGAATGGCAAAGACACCAGCGTAAAGCCCTCAGCAATCATCCTGGCAAGCAACCCTTGTGGAGATACAGCCTAGAACTGCTCCTCTAGTTGCTACAGCCACCAATACCAAAGACCCAGAAAGGACAGTTCTTGCCACCAAACTTATTTGTTGAAATGTTCACTTCAAAAAGACATTTTATCTGCTCTGCCACCATCCCCTAAGGACCATGGGGCTGTTCCATTTAACTCTGAGATAAAACCGTCTATACTGATGTCTCTTCCATTAGAACGTGAGCTTCTTGAGAGCAGGGACTATCTCACTTTAATGTGTGTATGCCCAGGGCTTCGCACAGTGCTTTGCATACAGTAAAGGATAATAAATAAATATAACATTTCATTCATTCAAATGACATTTTTTTTTCAATAAACAAAATTTAAGGTTATTAACTGGGAGGAAGGGAAGAATGGAGACGCTTAAGGGTTCAGAATACTTTCAGTGGGGAAGGAGTAAGACATGGAATCAATTAGGGAGATACAAAAGGACTGCCTTGCTACAGTGAGGATCCAGCTGATGTTGGATAACCTGAATTTGTATGTACTCAAGTCAGCAGTAACTGAATGACCTCCAGTTTCATTTAGCTGCTTGTGAAAGCAGATGAAGTAGATGGTGAGAGTTATCCAAGGCTGAGATGGAACGAAAGAAGAGTGATATGACAAAGGGCAAAGGACTCGAGAACTGAAGGTAGTACAGAGTTGCAATGGCTAATTACTGAGATGGAGAACCCTGCAACCTTATTACCTTACATAAATCAACAACTGCATCTCAACAGATCTAGTTATTTTCCCCCAAACATATGGCAGGGTATATTCTTGTCTCTGTGCTTTGCTTATGCTATTCCTTTAGCCCAAAGGCCTGATGGTCCTTAATTTTCCATTTAGAATCTTTCTGATACTTTGGTAATTATTTTGTAATGACAAAATGCCTGATAGACAGCCCCACCTGGATGTTCCATTAGTTTCTCAACATGTCCAAAGTAGAACTCCCTATCTTCCCCCACAAACCATCTCCAAAACTCCTTACTTTTTATAGGTACCACCACCCTCTCAGCCATCCAGATTCAAAACCTCAGAGTCACCTTCAACTCTTCTTTTTCCTCACTTAAATCCCATATGCTGTTAATTCTATCTCTACAACATCTTTCAACTCACTTTCTCAACCCTCAAATCGGACTGTCATGCCAGCTCAGGCTCTGATCTCCTTTCAGTCTACAGTAACAGCTTTAGTTTATTCCCAACAACTCTAGCCAACACTGATCTCTGCTGCCTCTGTATCTTTCCTTTGCCCTAACACACTATGCATATTTCTTATCCCTGCACCCCACACCCCAACTATAAGTGATATGAGGATAGCGATTTATCATTGTTCTTCTTTGTTTCCTTAGTATCTAGCATAGCATAGTAGGCTGTGAAATGTTTAGTCAATGCTCTTTTTTTTTTTTAATCTAGGCAATAGGCTGAAGTGACTTGCCCAGGGTCACACAGCTAGTTAAGTGTTACATGCCTGCAGCCGGATTTGAACTCAGGTCCTCCTGAATCCAGGGCCAGTGCTCTATCCACTGTGCCACCTAGCTGCCCTTTTTAATTTTTTAATTGCATTTCCACTTATCTAAGTTTTATCCTTTTTTCAAGGCCCACTGACTCCAGTGAAATCATCCAAAAATACTATATCCTTTGGCAATCATTCCACTTCTTGAACCCCTTACTGCCTTTTTGTTCTGTTTTGTTTTTTTGGTTGGGCAATGGGGTTAAGTGACTTGCCCAGGGTCACAAAGCTAGTAAATGTTATGTGTCTGCGGCCGGATTTGAACTCAGGTCCTCTTGAATCCAGGGCCGGGGCTCTATCCACTGCGCCACCTAGATGCCCCCTTACTGCCTTTTAAAATGTCATCTGGATGATATATAAAAAGATAATGAGAGAGTCAACATGTATCTTGTATCATCATCTATACCGGATGCTTGAGAGTAGGAATGAGGGGCAGCTAGGTGGCACAGTGAACAAACAAATGAGAACAGGAATGAAAAACAGTTTATATTTCTTCTTATCCCTTAGAGTAGCTGATACAACATACTGAGTCTACTGGGCATTCTAAAAATTTGTCGATCACTTTTTATAATTAATGAAATAGATAAGCAAAAATCTTACCCCTTTCACTGAATTCTGCAGTCATTTTACTTAGAGGGAAGGTCTAACATGATACAATAATCAAAAGCATCAGACTGTGTCCTAAAAATTAGAGCTTTTTAAAACTTTTTAAAAAAATTTTTATTATGGCTAAAAAAGATGAATTACACGTGTAAAAAGTTCAATCATTTTTTCTCACACTTAAAGATTATGATAAGAGAATTTGAAATGCAGTATTCCCTCTTACCTTTATTTTGGTTTATCAGAGTCCGAAGCTCCCAACTTCTCCGCATTGGCCCACTTGAATCTCCTTTTGGATATGAAGGTTCTGAAAGAAAGAATTTTGACTTGAATTCTAATGTACGAGTAATTACTAAAAGACAGCAGTACTACCATAACAGTAATTTTGAAATCATGAACGGCAATGGTTAATGGACATTACTTCTACAAACTGGTTCTTAGCTTTGAGTAAATTTGAGTAAATTTGACTTCAGAATGATAAAATCCTCTCTAAAATCAATACTAGAAAAAAAAGTCACCAAACTAATGAACTGTCAGTAGGTTATAGAATCAGCAGTGCAGCAAACACAAAACTGTAGTTAGCACTATCATACAAATCATAAAGCCCAAGAGTTCAAAATCATATCCACTTTTGGTCTCTAATCAAGACTGGTTTCTTCCATAAGTCCCCAGTAATGCTGTACCACTATTTCACATATTACCCGGCTTTTTTAGCCTTTCTTTGGATAACTTTATAGTAGAGTTTTAATATATTACCAAAGATCTAGATAATGTCACTGTAACTTTTTACAATAACAAAAACTCAGTAATTGAAATAACAGACTAAAAAAGTATGTTTATAAAATATGCATATAATCAGTAAAAATAATCATATACACTTTTATTCTTGGAAAAACAGCACTTCTTATTGCTTAATCTTCTCAATTTCCCCCTCACTGATAACTACCCTCTCCAGCCACCTTTTATTAGGAGGTAACAAGAAATGGAACATTGAAATAGATTACTGGAATTAAAAATGGTGTAACAAATACTTGAATACTCACCTTCTCGCTCCTCAGTGGGGCTTGAATGTCGACTCAATGATCTGAATTGCAATTCAGCAGCTATGGAGGCCAAACGATCATTTTCTGGAACACTGGACCCCCTGTTTCAACATTTTAAACATTGAGCTAGATTAGTCCAGGAGTACTTACACTTAAATAAGGTCCGAGAAACTTTTATGAAAATGTTAATTCCACCTGAAATGAAGAGAACCAAATAACCTTATCTGAAACTGTCCATTTCTTTTGTGTCACCTTACAATTCTTGATGGAGTCCTCCGTATGATATGTATGTATGTCTATATATATGTGTGTGTATGCATATGTGTACACACACACACACACACACACAACTGTCACTAACTAACTTTAGGAACTCTTCAGAGTCTGAACTCCAGGAATGAAAAGAATACATACAATTGCCTTCATCGCATAGGCTACCATGCCACCCACATCATTTCTGTTAATTTTGGTTAGATTATCAGTCACAGGAAGATCTAACAGATTTCCTTGTCAGATGAACCCAGGACAATGAAAGCATACATATGAAAAATATTAAAAATTGTAGCAAAGCAGAAGTGCGAGAGGGCAATCTAATCTATTATTGTTTAGAACAAAATCAACTACACTTCAAGTGCACAAAGCAACTGCTTCAAGAGAAATTAAATCGATATTTATGAAGGTAAATGTTAACAGAAGAATTTAAGTCAAAAAGAACAAAGCAAGACAGATTATATCAGAATTGGAGTATATGGTAGCTATTGAGAGTGTAGCTGCTGTGTTATGCTGACAGAGGGATTTAATGAAGTATGGTAGCATTTGTGCTCTTATTTCATATAGCAGGTAGGTTTAAGTGAATGTCTCTTTTATCAGTGATTTCAAAAATTCTGATGCCTCAAATCCTTCTCATTATTTTTCATTTCTCAGAACCCCAACATACAGTAGAAACTGGCTGCTGTAGACTTGTGCACAGATATAAATCAACTATTTCCAAATTCCCTAGATTTTTTTCAAGGGATTGCTATAGTAGTTTTGTGGAAAATGGGAGTAACTCTACTTATGCAACCTACTTTATGGGCTTTTGGAAAGAACTTTACAAAACTGTAAAAGCCACATAATATTACTGTCATCACTCCATGAACCCAGGTTGAAACCACTAATATAAAGGAAAAATGCTAGTGTAAATAGGCCAACATGAGGTCTAGTCCTAAGCAATGCAACTACATGACTGTAAGAAAATTCTTTAGCACCTCTGTTTCATGATTTCTTATATGCCATCCCCACATAAGGGATGCCACAGGGTCAAATAAATGAAAATATATAAAAATACTATGTAAGCTGTTATATGAATATAAATTGTCAAATAAAAATGTTATCATATGAAAGCTTTTTTTTTTTAATTCAGTGCCTACTTACTCTGTAAGTTTCCCATATGTTTTCATTATAATAGGAAGTCTCTACGGTCAGTGATAAATATTTAAAAGTGCAAAAGTTTAATATCACATGAATCACATATGCTTGAAATAATGGTTAGAAGAATAGACCTAATAATGTTTTAAAGCACTAAATCCATTGTGATAAAATAAATCTCTTTATGACTTAGAATTTTGCTGCGTGGAGATTATATCTTAAAACTACTATGTCCAAAACTGGAGAAGGGATTCAGTCACTGTCATATACATTATACACACACGAGAAAAAAATATATATATATATACACACACATACAAAATATGCAATTGTATGCATTACTGTCAAGCTATCTTTTTTGGGGGGTTTTTATGTTTACCTAAAATCATGAGCTTTTTCAACATATAAGGAGTTAACTCAGATTTTCTACTTCAAAAGAGCTATCATCTAATTTGAGAGAAATATTAGACTAGGAAAAAGTATACACAAGTTTTAGCACTGCATTTTGGGGAAATGATTCTTACCATACCTTTATTTGTTCCATCATTTATAAAACAGATATTTTATTTCGTCTATACGCTGTACAGAGATGAGAACAAATATGGTAATAATTTCTGTGAGATGCCTTGAATAACAAAATACATGGGAAAAAATCCCAGAGCTTTTCAAAGTTAACTGTTACCCTTTTTTTAAGTACACAATTTACAATCTGTACCAAATTTTTATTTTTTAGCTTCAGAAATTTAATGCTGTTGAAATTTTTGTGATTTTTAACTTGAATCAAAAGCTACAAATATGTGTGGCAAAACTGGATGTGAATTTCATAAAGCATATGCTAATTCTTTAGCCCATTTTAAATTCGGAAGTCATCTACTCTATGCCTTAAAAATATAAAAATATTGTGTCTAGAAGTGGAGGAGTACACAAAAGTTCTTTTCTCCTTTTTTCTCCCAATCTAAATAATTTTGCTATGGCACACATATATCATTGTATTTGTTAGAAGAAAGATTTGCTTCTGAGACAGTGAGTTCATTTCCCAACAATGAAGATTTTTAAGCCAAAATTAGATTACGACACAGGGAGAGGCTGTGACAAAGCGTTGTTCAAAACGTCCTTTCAGATCCCTTCCTTAGGCCCCATCCAGGCCTAAGGATGTGAGTAAATCAACTGCCTGATCAATTATCCTTTTTACTCTATGTGCATGTGAGCATAAGATCTGTATTAAAAATCTGTGATGAAAATGTGACAAAATAGCTGCTAGAGATACTTAAGGCTTTATTTTAAAATTTTTTTGTTTAAATTTTTTATTTTGATGTGCTTTATTTTTACTTGTTTATTCAGAAGACCTATATATTTTTCTGAAACTTGCTGATTCTGATAACTAAATAAGAAAAGCATCCCAACTCAACATAAGCCAAGGGAAAAAAATAAACCTACATTTTATTTATTTTGTGATTTACTAGCAAGTAGAGTCTACTCTTTACCAAAAATCAATTAAATTCAAAAGGAAACATATCTTACTTTCTAAGATAAGAAGGTTGAAGGAAACTAATTAATAATCTTTAGAATGATTCTACAGAGAAACACATTAAAGTTATTAGCTAAAGAATTTCTCTGAAATCTCCATATTAGTCAGTAGGAAACTCTTTGAATATTCCAAAGCACTTTCCACTATGAAAAATATTCTTTCCCCTTTGGTGCTATTTCTAAATAGCAGATAATTTAGTATATTTTGGTTCACATCAAACCCTGCCAGAAATAAACGTGGCCATATTACCTAACTCTCCTGGTAGAAAAAAAGAACTGTGTAGCTCCTAGGAACAGGGAGCGTAGAAGTGACCCTCATCCAGAAGTCTAGATCCCATATCTGAGGCAAGTCCTACTTTTAAACACCTTATGTCAACTAAAAGCAGACTGCATCTGGGATGGCAACAGAGATGACACTGGTGGGGTGGAACTACCTGTTATCATTTGTACTGCTGACAGGTTTGGGTGGAGCGGAGTCGCTGCCGGCTGGGGCGGGGCGACTGGCAGCAGCACTGCAGGGGTTCCGCACGTCAGAAGGCACACTCCGAGTGCTGTGATAAGAAGGAAAACTTCAGGAAATACAGTTGGAAAAAAGCCTGGATGGTCAATTGTTTTTTAATTTGAAATTAAATAAGGTGAGCAAATGAAAAAGTTAATTAAAAATTTAAAAATACATATGATCTCTCTTTGAGATTCAGTTTCACAGGCTATCTAAAAAATTCACTAAAAGGGTATAAAATAAACAAACAAACAAAAAAAGATCATCGTGCTTCTAAAAGCAGTCCCAAATTGGCAAAATGAAAGCTAGCCTATTTAAAGGTGAAGACCACAACTTAAAAGATGCAGAAATGCCACCACATTCAAGGGTCATATCTTTCATGTGCTGTATTTTCCAACCTCACATTGATCTAGAGGTGTGCCATGGAAGAACATACATGGAAATGAGGACCAGAAAAGAGACAAATACAGTTAAATCTTCCATTTTTAAATCAAAATTTACTTTCAAATGTTCACTGTCATACAAACTCTAATTTGCTTTCTTAAAGAAAGAAAAAGGAAAGATTGCTGAAAAGGCTAGAAAGCACACACAGAGTAGCCATTTCTATACAAGATGACAGAGCAACATTGCATAAAGGATGAAGAGCTGGGCTTGGAGTCAGTAAGATCTGGATTCGAATCCCACCTCTGATACTTATGAGCTAATCATTTCACCTCTGGGCACCTCAGGCAGCTTTCCTGGATGAAGTCAAAGAATGTTCGCAATCATTACCTGGAGTTGCCCACACTGACAAAACCACAGATTCTTTGAGTATTTGCATACGGGCAGATCAATGTTATATTATCTTGAAAAGACTCTTGCCTACGCTCAAATTTCAACACTTTTTGTTATAGCTACAGAAGTGCAAGTATACCATCAAGAAAATGGAAATAACAGCTTTCTAAAATATATGAAAAAGAACAGCAGGAAAAAATACTTAAGATTTCAGAGGCAAGCAGCCAACAGCCTCATCAGTTTTAACCTGTTATGCAAGGGGGAGTTTACAAGGCGAATGACTGGTGAAGCACCAAATACCTGAATCCGTCAGGAGTTGGGATGATGAGATGCGGGTTAGGAGGGTCACTATGACATCTGGGTACCTTCACAGGACGGGGACTGTTTCGATGGATAGCTGCTGGAGTGAAAAAAGACAACAAATGGAAACTGTGAAGACATTCAAGAGTAAAAGGTCAGCCTAGTAAGTTAAAAATAATTTTTATTAGAGTGAACAAAATTAAACTACACATATAAACATATGCATCTAGACTTGGGGTATAGCTACAGAGCTAGAAGAGACATGGGAAGCCATCTGGGTCAGTCCCTTTATTTTAAAGATGAGGAAACGCCAGGCCCAGGGGAGGCTGTAACTTGCCAAAGTCACATAGATGATGAGATGTGAAGCCAGAGCTGAGATCAGGTCAGAAATGAGCTTTGAAATCAGGGCTTCCTGACTTCAAGTATGTCACTCCTATATACAGCATCACACTGTCTTTCCTAGACACAGAGCAGGTACTAAAATATTTGCTCGTTTAAATTCGCAGTGAGTAGTAACATTTTATAAATGGAAACTAGAATACAAAGTTATAATACATTCAAACACTAGATTTCTGTGATATATCAAAGATTTTTTTGATCCAGAATGAACTTTGTTTTTTAGTTCAACATTTACAGCTTTTATAGCATTTTACAGATGAGAAAACTGAAGCCTAGAGAGTTTCGGGCGTCTCTTAAGTCAGAGAGTGAGTTAGTAGCAGTACCTACCCAGGTTATAAGACCACAGATTTGGGCACTCAAAGGGTAACTTTAGAGTGTTATCTAGCCTGCCCTCTTAGTCTTTAAATGAGGAAGCTGAGGCCTACAAAGGTGGAGCTAAATTTTAATTTTTTCCACGTCACAAAAATATATATGTAGCACAATCAAAATTCAAACACAAGAACTCTGATTCCCAATCTAATAATCACTCCACTATAACACAGTGCAATGTTCACTATATAAGAAAACACAGTAACCCATCTCTTTGATTTCCAAAGTGAGGGGTAGGGCTTCTGGGGGATGAGGCTGGATCCCAGGCATGGGGATTTTCTCCAACACAACCACAGTTGTCTATCACCTATTACAGCCCATCAACATTGCCCCACCGCACCAGGTCCTAATCCTTCTCATTCATTCATTTGTTTAGTCATTTGCAAGTCAATCACGGTTAACTGATTTCTCCAGGGTCACACAGCTAGTAAGTGTTAAGTGTTTGAGGCCAGAATTTGAACTCAGGTCCTCCTAATTCCAGGGCCAGTGCTCTATCTACTGTGCCACCTTGCTGCCCCTTTTATTTATTTGTTTATTTAAATACTCTTTCAAAAACCATCTGGGCCCCTCTGGTTTAGGTTACCTAACTCCAAGAAAACTACCCTTTACCTCATCACCCAGTATACCCATGGGGGGGCAGGGGGAGGCGCTGGGGAGCACAGAGGACCACTATTGAGAACATTTGGAGACTAATGAGCTAGAGTACAAGAACAGAGACAACCAATGGGATATTTATAATTGGCTGGTTTTGGGGGGGGGTTTGGCCATGTTTTCCTTGTAAAGCTACAAAATGAAAATTATAAACAAATAATCAATATTGGTATAACACATCCAATTCTGTATAACAATGTTCTTACGAATGAGTACTGGTAGAACAGGGGACTAAGTACAGGGAAAGAAGTCTGAAAGAAAAAGCACAGCACTTTTTTAAACAAAAGGCAGAAAAGGAAAATAGTCTTGTTGGCTCCTGGGTGGCAATAGCCATAACAGAAGAGATGTTCCCTCTCTGATAAGGAGAAGGTTTGTTGTGCATCTCCCCTTCCACAGGTGTGATGTATGCTGAGAAACAGATGAAAACAAAGAAGTTCAAAGGCCTGCATCAACTGCAGGAAGCCATGAGAGAGATATTCCTGACGCACAGGTCTCACCGTGCTACTCCCCAGCGAGGTAAGCTCCTAGTGACTCCCCATCGCTTCTGGGATCAAACCCAAACTCATCTGATTGGCACTGACAGCCTTTCCCAAGCTGCCTCACTGGCAGGCTTAATGCTTCCCAAGGACAACAATCCATCTCCTGTTTCCACACCTGAGGAAGTGCCACCAAGGCACCTTCTCCTCACATCTGCCTCTAAACTCCGACCTTCTTTCAATGACTACTTCCTATCTATGGTCTCTCCTCAGAAACGACCCCCTAGTCACTTTGTACAGACTTGTATGTGCACATGTGGATGCGGCGACAGAACTGAAACTCCTGGGGTGCTGTTTCATGGTGGTACCTGAATCATACCCAGCCCCCTTTAGGATCTGAGTAACTGCATGTGGACTGAGTTGTGGCATAACTGAAAGAGCCCTGTCTTTGGAATCAGGAGACCTTGGTTAAAGTTCCAGTACTACCATTTAACTAGAACTTTAGGCCAGTCTCATTTTAGGTAATTTTGAGTTTCTTCATCTGAAAGATGAGGATAATGATGGGTTACATTTATATATTGCTTTAAGGTTTACAAAGCAATTTACACACATTATCTTGTGGTTCTTCACATCAATGCTGTACCACAAGTGCCTTTATCACCATTTTACAGATCAGGAAACAAAGGATCCAAGAACTTATCTGATTTGTCCCAAATATATAATGTGGCAAAAGAGGTCCAAAAAGCCAATGAGGAGAAGAATGCTCTAAGAAGCAAAACTGGCCAAATGGAAAAGGAAGTCCAAAAGCTTACTGAAGAAAATGCCTCCTTAAAAATTAAAATGGAGCAATTGGAAGCTAGTGATTTTAGGAGAAATCAAGACACTGTAAAACAAATCCAAAAGAATGAAAAATTAGAAAACTATGTGAAATATCTCATTGGAAAAACAACTGACCTGGAAAACAGATCCAGGAGAGATAATTTAAAAATTATTGGACTATCTGAAAGCCATGATCAAAAAAAAGAGTCTAGACATCATCTTTCAAGAAATTATCAAGGAAAACTTCCCTGATATTTTAGAACCAGAGGGCAAAATAGAAACTGAAAGAATCCACGATTCCTCTTGAAAGAGATCCCCAAAGGAAAACTCCTAGGAATAGTGTAGCCAAATTCCAGAGTTCCCAGGTCAAGAAGAAAATATTGCAAGCAGCCCAAACACATAATGCATATGGGAAGATTCTAATTTCACTTTTTCTTCACTTTATGCCCAGGGCTCCTTTGCTTCCCTAAAGTGATAATTATATCACTTACATCAAAGAGAAGTTGTTAGAAACAAATAAGGTAATGGATATAAAGTGCTTTTTAAAACTGAATGGTAAAAAAAGTCAGGCATTAAAGTGCTCTATCAATGTCAGCTGCTGCTATTATATATTATATTGAGTATAAGGAAGTGAGGTGGCACGATAGTACACAGAGCAGCAGTCCCAGAGTCAGGAAGACTCACCTTCATGAGTTCAAATCTAGTTCACACACTAGCTGTGTGACCCCGGACAAGTCACTTAACCCTGTTTGCCTCAGTTTATGCATCTGTCAAATGAGTTGGAGAACGAAATGGCGAACCACTCCAGTATCTTTGCCAGGAAAACCCCAAATGGGGTTACGAAGAGTCAGACATGATTGAAAAATGACTGAACTGAGAACATTACGTCACGCTTATCCCTGAATTCTCTTTGTTACTATTTCTAATAAAATAATCCAAAAGTTAGAAGGGCTCTTGGAGACTATCAGTCTAATTTCTTATCACATTTAAGGTACCTTTATAACATGTTCCAGAAGGGTTTCTTCTACTCTCAATTTGTATTCCTCCACAGGGGAACTAACTCTCCCACCTTCTCACTTCTAATTGCTAGAAAATGTTTCCTTATACAAAACCAACATCTACCTCTTGTCTACTTCCACCCAGTGGTTCTAGTTCTAATTTCATGATTTAAACAAAATATGTATCTATCTTCTCCCACAGGAAAGCCCTTCAGATACTTGAAGAGAGGATCACATAATTCCACATAAGCCCTTATCATGTTAAATATCTCCAGTTCCTTCCATCAATCCTCCTACAGAACAGTTTCTAGCCCCATCACTCATCTCTAGTTTGTCAATGTCTATGAACGTGGGGCATCCAGAACTGAAAACCACAGCCCAGACAAGGTCCAGACCAGTCCTAAGAACCAATCACAATAAAATTATTAATACGTTTATTCTGACCACCATGCTGGTGTTAATAAATGAACACATGATGTAGTCTAAAATTAGCTTTTTTGGCAACCATACCCTCCTTTGGACTCAATGTTGAGCTTACAGTGCACTAAAATCTTTTAAATTTGTTCATACTAACTATTGATACAACTATCTTTGCAGTTAAGTCCATGTTTACTGAAACTCTTCCTACATGTTTTTAATGACCCATTTACTTTTATATATTAAAGATGAAACTGAATACACTCTGTGAATGACAGAAGAGAGAAGATAAATTATCTGACTGATTTGCTCAAGTTAGACTGTCTCCAAAGAACTGCTGCTAACTGCTATATCTTACCAAGGTACAAACCTGTAACAGGACTGTGAGGTTTTCCTATCACATGACCAATGCATTCATTCATCAAAGCTTGTAAACTCTAGAAACCAAAGCAAAGGAAAAGAGAGAAAATGTGTTGTTTTCAACTTAAGTGCCATAAAATAATCTGTCTTTGCTAGTGGTGTTCGAAAAATAATCTCATCTAGCTCAACAACGCAATCTCTGTCTCCTATTTCTCCATGTTTCAGGTACCAATATATTTTTGCTACCTAACAAATATTCTTTCAGTTCAATGCACAGAGACCTATAAAGTTATTATGTTTTTATAGATAAACGTATTACACTTTAAATATTATAATTTAACTACTCTGATGTGTATTACAGAAGATAGGAACTATACAGTTCTTCATATTTATAGAAATTCTTTTTTATTAACCTCAGTAATTATATGCCTGCACACTTATGTACATTTCACTGTTATGCACACACAAATGACTCTTCATATACCATAATTCTAATTCTGAACAAAGTATTCTCTATTTTTATTTTCAATGGTTTTGCTTTGTTTTGATTTTCAAAGAACAATACAATAATGTGTAATATCTAGCGAGAAATTAAACACTGATATCAAACTTAGCCAACTAAATTTTGTCTTCATTAAAGTAGTCAATAAATACCAACTGTCTCTACAGATGGAGTATTGTAAGGGATATTGGCAACTTGGTGTTTTAGAGGGATATACATATGCCATAACTCTAATCTAATCAGTGGTACAAAACTGGCATAAAATGAGAAAAGACAAATACTGAATACGTATGAAGTTCATTGTTATAAAATACTGAGCAATTATATTTAATTACATAGAAAAACAGTAAGACATCACCAGTTACAAAGCCTCCCCAAAATCGAGACATATTCAAAGAACACTTAACTTCCATACCAATTAAAAAATTACAGAAACAGTAATTCCATACCAAGAAGTCATCTTCAGGAAGTGCTGAAATAAAGCCTGGTTCAATGGCTTGCAGAAAATCAAAACCTTGAGTTGCCCACCTGTTAAAAAAATTCAACAACTACAAATAAACAGCTAAGAAACACAAAGGAATTCTAACTTATTTACGGAAATATTAACTCCACAAAAATACTCTTATCAGATTCTGAAAATATTTCCAAGGGAAGATATGAAAATCTTTATTCATAATCAAGTTTGAAATAATGAAAAGGTTACATTTTAAAATAATTTCAACATGAAATCTTTAAGTAAACAAAAACTATCTTCATTCTCTATAACAGCCAGGATACCAGCATGACAAGAGACTCCTTTATGTCTACAGCATCTGTAGACAATTTTCATTTAATAGTTAAGAATTGGACAATAACCTTATTTGATTCACAAACAAAAGAAATCCACGTGGGCTTTACCTGGGCCTGGTGCCTCGACCACTTTCACATTTAGTTAGCACATAATTCATCCACTTTCTGGCAAAGCTAATATATTTATCTCCAATCTTCTGTCTAAATGTTCCGGACATCAGACGAACAACTTCTTTATGATACTGAAAGTTAAATTACACTAAAAATCAATAGGATTTCAACAACTATAATAAAATTATAACACTACTTGTAACCTGATTCTTCTAGACTATGCTCAATCCCCTTGAAGATAAATAATTTTTTCAATGCAAGACTGGTAACAATAGCCACTATATAGTATCTGAAATGTTAGAAGAAACAGTAGTAGTTACATACATATACATGAAATCATATATGTGTATATACACACTTGATACACACATTATACTGCTTTCAGGTTTACAAAAAACATTCCTCACAAAAACTATGCGAAGTCCATAGCACAAAATAAATATCCTTCTTTCACAGATATGGAAACTAAGGTTCAGAGGGATTAGGTTATTTGTGGAAGGCCATCCAGATAATAAGTAGCAGGGCCAAGACTTATTTGTCAGACTGTCTGACTTCAAATCCACCTCTCTTTCCTCATACAACACTGGCTTAAACACTAATTTATTTAAAATGAAATGAGTAATCCTATTTCCCTAATCTATGAAATCTATTTTAATACTTCGTATGTGAAAATGAATGACATAAAATAATTCCACAATTGAGTGCAGAGAAGTTAAGTGATTTGTTCATGGCTATACAGCTATTAATTGTCACAGGCACAAGAAATTCTTTCCTGACTCCAAGTCCAGCATGTTCCATCAATTTCAAATTATTTCAGCTTCAGATTCAGAAGTTCTGGGCTCAAAGGCCATGTGTGTTACTTATTGGTATGTGAACTGGGGACATCAACTAACCTCCCTGGGTATCAGTTTCCTCCTCTATAAAATAATGGAATGATGATAGAATTTGTTTAGTGCTTTGAAGTTTACAAAGCACTTTTACATGTTATCTCCTTTGACTATATCATTATTAAGGTAGCTTCTAAATCTATAAACCTATATTCTTCAATAATTTATATATTTTAAAGACATAAGACAGTCTTAAGAGTACTATGGAGACTAACAAATTACAAATTATTTTCTCATGAAAAAATAAAAAAAATATATATATTTTAAAAAAATAAGAAATAAAGAGAATTTCTAGGAAAGGGTATCCATAATGGGGTTAGGGAGAATTATGATGAGTAGGGACAGCTACCAGACACCTCTTATTTCATTGATTTAAGAAACTCCCTCTACCTATGGCATGGTATCTGCAAACTGTAGTCTTAGAAAAATGAAAAATGCTTACAGCACTAAGTGGTCATGGAACTTGCCCAAGGTCACAGAGACAGTTTATGTCTGAGGTAGGGCTTAAACCCAGGTTTTCTTGGCTCCAAAACCAGCTTTCTTATCCATTATACCATGAATCTGTTCTATGATGAACAACGATCTCAAAAGTTGTATTGATGGATTATCTGCATTACTTAGAAGTAAAAATTATTCAACTAAGATAATATTTTTACTACATAATGTAAACATCCGCCAAAGTATTCTATAACCTAGAAATGTAAATGGTATGAATTTTAGTTATATGAATCATGAGTGAGTTATATAAAATGTTCAAACTAATCCAATGTAATTAAAAGAATATTCTGTACATCTAGGAAAGTAGACCACTTTCATAGAAAATTCAGATTATCTCCTCAAGACATAAAATATTTTTGGCAAAGAAATCTTATTCCTCTCTTCTTTCCCAATTCCTACCCCTTTATGAAAAGAAGAAGAAAAAAAAAGTCAAGGACACAACAGTTTCAGTTATTTACTAAAAGCAAGTAAGAACTTAAAACCAAGTTTCAGGTTGACTATGAATTAAATTTTAGAATATTTCAGCTACAATCAGTTTTGGCCTTTCCCCCCCGGTGCGAGTCTTATTTTCCTGCATTTACCTCAAAACCAAAATTGTAGCCCTGAATCATGGCTTCGCGATAGTACTGCTGCAAAGTGGCCGATTCTGACTCATCCACTTCAGGATCAAATTCTGATGTGAATATGTGGTCCACTTGGTCAATGGCATCACTTATTTTGTTGCAGAGCTGCAATGCATCATCCTAAAAAAACCCAAATGGAGAATGGTTCTAAGATGAGGTGACCCACACAATTCTAATTTAACCTTAACATACAATTTCCTTCATTTTCATGGAGACGCTCATTCATATGTTATTATCAAAACAAGATGTAACTGGGGAAAATTATGTTAGAAAAATTTGATTATTCTCTTTTTAAAGATACAAATCGAGTAACATGAGGTATCTCTTAACTACAGAAAATCTATATTCAATTAGATCAATAAGATCTACTCTAGATAATAATGTTTAATTGTTATTTTTAACAATAATAATAGGCAATGGGGTTAAGTGACTTGCCCAGGGTCACACAGCTAGTAAGTGTCAAGTGTCTGAGGTAAGATTTGAACTCAGGTCCTCCTGACTCCAGGGCCGGTGCTCTATCCACTGCGTCGCCTAATTGCCCCTCCCTCCTGGTCTGTTTTTTAAAAAAATGAATCACATTGTAGAGGACCATGGTGATTTATAGGAATCTATATTTTGTTCCTTAGGCATGAAGAGAGACAGTGACGCAGTTAGGTGACGCAGTGGATAGAGCACTGGCCCTGGAGTCAGGAGGACCTGAGTTCAAATCTGGCCTCAGACACTTGACACTTACTAGCTGTGTGACCCTGGGCAAGTCACTCAACCCCCATGACAGCGGCGGAGGAGGAGGAAGAGGAGGAGTAGGCGGAGGTGAAGGAGGAGGAAGAGAAGAAGAAGATATATGTGCTGTTCTACACTGGAAAAGTCTTTAAAGTAGGAAGTGCTATGCCAAGTAACATGGATATAGAATGGAAAGTTGAAGATAAATACAGTTGGTGGATGGAACAGGAAGCAACACATGGCCTGGCAGAGGCACTTAATTAAGACACTGAAGGTATATTCTAAAATAAATCTGCACGCACAAAAATATTCATAGCAGCTCTTTTTGTGGTGGCAAAGAAATGGAAATTGAGAGGATGCCCATCAATTGGGGAATGGCTGAGCAAGTTGTGGTATATGAATGTAATGGAATACTATTGTGCTATAAGAAATGATGAACAGGCTGACTTCAGAAAAACCTGGAAAGACTTATATGGTCTGATGCTGAGTGAAGTGAGCAGAATCAAGAGGACTTTGTACACAATAACAGCCACATTATGCGATGACTAAGACTGTTAAACTGAACCCTTCTCAGCATTATGAGGATCTAAGACACCTCCAGAGACCTCGGGATGGAAAATGCTGTCCACATCCAAAGAAAGAACTATGGAAGTCGAATTGCTATCACTTATTTTTACCTTCTGTTGAGTTTTGTTTCATCTTTCTGATGGTTCCTCCTACTGGTTTTAATTGTTACTTACTACTTCACTAATGTGAAAATATGTTTAATGGGTATGTAAATGTAAAGCCTATATCAGATTGTGCACCATCTTGGGGAGGGTGGGGGGGAGGAAGGGGGAGAAAAATTTTCAACTCAAAAGCATATGGAAGTGATTGTTGAGAAATCAAAATAAATTAATAAAATTTAATAAAATAAAATAAATCTGGAATAATCATAGCAATGTCTCATATTTAATACCCTTCTCAAGAAAGGACACACTTGTTTACAAATGATACTCATTTTAATCTCTAGATTTACCATAAACACCCAACATACCAACATCCTGTGGTAGATCTTTCCTCTATTATCTGCAACTCTGGAGCAAACAACAGGTAGAATGGAAGAAACAAAAGACAGATGGGCTTCTTCCCCATAACTTTCAACTATCACATCTTAAAATGCTGTGATGAGTATGTGTACAGTTTTAACAGTTAGCAAGTATAGTTCCTCTGCTTTACTATTAAACTTTTAGAATGGAAAATGCATGTTTTAGAATCCAAAATGCCGTGTTTATCCTTTTGTATAAGCTTATCCCACTGAAAAAATTCCTTGTAATAGATAAATATATAGAAGAATTTTAAACTTAACCCACAGCACCTAATGTTAAAGTATGGAAACCTTTAGTAAATGAGTTGAAATAAGAAGAGATTAGCTTTTTAATAGTGACCATTATCTGGGGTCCCCAGGTCCTGGTTTGGTTCCTTAATTAGCAAGGTGGAAGGGAGGGAATAAGCACGTACTAGGTGCCACTGTGCTAAGGCACTTTGCAAATATCTCATTTGAGCCTCAGACAACCCTATAAGGCAGGCACTATTATTCTCATCTTACAGTTAAGGAAATTGAGGCAGACTGCGGTTAACATAGAACAATTAATTTGTCTGAGGTCAAACTCAGGTCTCCTGAATCCAGGGCTAGAGCATTTTCCACCAAATCATCTAGCTGCTTCTAATGTGACACCTGAAAGTACCAATCAACATTCTGAACCTCAGAGTTTTGGGTTTGTTTTGGGGTTTTTTTTGGTTGTTTTTCGTTTTTGTTTTTGTTTAAATCTATAAGAGCACAAATAAATAAAAATTTAAAACGGGGCAGCTAGGTGGCGCAGTGGATAGAGCACCAGCCCTGGAGTCAGGAGGACCTGAGTTCAAATGCGGCCTCAGTCACATAACACTCACTAGCTGTGTGACTCTGGGCAAGTCACTTAACCGCAATTGTTTTGCAAAAATAAAAACAAACAAACAAACAACAAATATGTAAGAGGAGGGGGTTGGACAAGACTATCTCTAAGGTCTCTTCCATCTCTAACAATGAACTAGGAATCTAAATTCTGAGGAGGAACAAGTTTATCCAAAGCTATCTTGATCAGTCAATTGGTCAGTTAACAAGTTTATGTTAATGGCATACTATGTGCTAAGTGCTGGAGATAAAAAGAAAAAACAAACAAGTCCCTGCCCTCAAAGAGCTCACATTCTAAAGGAGGAGCCAACATGCAAACATTTAGGCAGACAGAAGACAATGTATGGCCCAGGAGTTAGGACTTGAGTTCAAATCTGGCCTCAGATACTTGCTAGAGCTAGGTGACCCTGGGCAAGGTACTAAAAAGTTATCTTCCTCAGTTTCTTCAACTGTAAAAGGGGGAGAATAACAGCACCTACCTCCCAGGTATTGTAAAGATAAAATGAGAGATTATTTATAAAAGTACTTTACAAACTTTTAAATACTAATTAAGTATTAGCTACCCTTATTACTATTTTAATATGAATTTAGAGCAGATGCAAGGTGATCTTAGATGGAAAGAATGGGTCACAGGTACACAGCGTGTGAGAATGACCTCCTGCAAAAGGTGGGATTTGAGCCCAGTCAAGGAAGAGGCCAGGGAAGCTGGGAGGCAGAGGTGAGAAATGAGATCACTCCGGGCATGGAGAGTAGCTGGTGAAAAGGCCAAGAAGCTGAGAGACAGAGTGTCCTGTGTGAGGCACAGCAAGAAGGCAGGTGCTGCTGGATGATAAAGTAAATGGAGGGCAATAAAGCATAGAAGACTGAAAAGATATTATGGGACAAGGTTGTGAGAGACTGTAAATGACAGACCACATTTTACATTTGGCCCTGGAGGTAACAGGGAGTTTGTTAAGGGTGCTGGTGGTCATATGGCCAGACCGATAAGGATACAGGTGTAGGACAGTGGAAGTAATAAAAGGAGGAACAGGGAGGGGCCGACAGAAGGCCACTCTCAGAGTAAGACTGATTTCTAATGGAAAGGAAAATATGTAGCAACAAGCCCTTGGGTTTCACTAGCAAAGAAACTAGCAGGCAAGGGGATGCTGTTCTGGTCCTCCCAACCCCACAGTTTCAGCATCCCTCGTCCAGCTGTCCCTTGGGTTTGAGGTAGGTAACAGTGGACAATTAATGTGACATAAGCCAGCCAGAAGATGACTGAAGGAAGACCCACAACTCAGGGCTTGAGAAAGGAAACTCTGATCTGGCTCTAGCAAAGGATGAATAAACAGTAGGTCTGGAGAGCGGAAGCAGAATCAGGTGCCAGATCTCTCTCACTTTTCTCATGCTCTAAGCAGAGACAGAAAATTTCCTGCAAAGGAAACTGCCTCCACTGAAGTATGGAACCCCAAGGGAATCCTATGGATTCCACCCACCTATCCAGAACCTTCTTTTTTGCTCTTTGAGGAACTTCACATATACCAATAACAACGAGTGACATTTGTTTACCACTTTAATGGATGCAGTGCTTTTACTAAACATTTTCTCACTGGAGCCACATAACATCCCTGTGGGGTAAGCACTACGAAGTATTATTATCCCCATTTTGCAGATAAAGAAATAGAAGCTCAGAGAGGCTGGGTGTCCTATCCATAATCACACAGCTGAACCTAGGACTCTGACTTTGGAGTTCAGTACTTTAGGGACATTACTTGACTTCTCACCTTTTAAACCAAGGGATGTCAATATTTAGATATTCTGTGTTTGAGTATGTGTATATATAACACAAAAAGTTGTTAAAGCAATGAATAAATGACCATCTCAGCAAAGATTTTGTTGTTCCTCCAGTAAACACTGTACATAAATGTACTGCTGAGTATTTTAGATGAGGAGACTTGGCTTCTCGTCCCAATCCCATTGTCAAGGGATGCTCTGCTTGTGCCATCCATGGTGATGCTGGCATCCTCTGGCCAGAATCGGTTTTGCCGACTCTAATTCCACACTAATTCCTGTGTCACTGGCCTCCTCACGGCTCCTCCCATGGGACATGCCATCTCTTGACTCTGGACATTTTCACTGGCTGTCCTCCCTTCCTGGCACCCCTTTCCCTCCTCATCTCCACCTCCTGGCTTCCTTCAAGTCTCTCTGCCTTCTACAAGAAGCCTTTCCTAGTCCTATTGAATCTTAGAGCGATTACGCTGTGACAAGTCCCAATTTGTCCTCTCTCTACCTTGTCTGCTGGCACTTCCATTACACTGTGCACTCCTTGAGTGCAGGGACTGAGCTTTTTGTTTATTTGTTTTTCCCTTTCTTTGTATCCCCAGTGCTTAGTATAGTGCCTCTACTTAGTAAGTGCTAGGTGACTAACTAACTGTGTTGTGTAACATCAGGCAATCAATTTTACCTTTTTGGGTGTTACGTTCCACGCCTGTAAATGAGGATGTACTGAATAATTTCTAAGGTTTCTTACACAACCGAAATTGTATAAATCTACAGTAACATAAGCTCCTTGAGAATAGGAATTTTGTTTCATCTTTTGCATTTTTATACTATATGTATACACAAATGGTAAAAATTTGGTGAGAGACCCACAGGAAAAAAAAAAATCAAGGCTCTTGACTGACAGATGGCCATATCCAGGTGGTTCTGAGCACCATACTGCACCATCATTTTTCTGCCATGCTATTTGTCATGCACAGCCCCCCATTTATTTCCCCCAGCCCCCACTTTTCACCTCTTGCTCTGGAATACTATTGCTTCCAAAAAAACCTTTCCCTAACCCTCACTCCTTTAGTCTCTTCTGATAAGAGTACACACTCCTTAAAGGTAGGGACTGTCTCTCTTCTATCTCCCAGTGCTTGGCATAAAGTTAATACTTGATAATTTTTTTTAAATTCATGAATTCCTTCATTCAATGGTACTATAAATCTCTAAACCAGAGGGAGGGAACTTGCAGCCTTGAGGCCACATGAGTCCAAGTTTGACAGAACAAGTCCTTTTATTAAGGGGATTTGTTTTGTGAAGTTTGGATTGGTCAAAGGGCTGCAAAGGTTCCCCACCCCTGCTCTAAACCATACCAACTCTCCCATAACATTTCAAGAATTAGGGATGTCAGATAAGAGAAAGGTGGAAGTACCTTTAGCTGCTGCAAAGCTTTGGCGATGACAGGCTGACTAGAGGTTTGTTCTTGGTGCAAAGTCACAAGCCCTTCAATGGACTGCTGGAAAGCTTTTCTCTGGCTCACAAGATGGGCAGACTGCATGACTACTAAGAGTAGATTTTCAACCTAGGAATATAAAATCAAATTTAGTACGAGAAGACATTGACAAATTTCCCACTTCCAAAATTCTAGTGCAAACCATTACTACCAGAGGAAAGAAAACAATATGTGTACATTTAAATATGTTAATGAACCAAATTACGATGGTGCTTCCCAGTTTTACAAACTATTTTCCTCATAACACTGCAAGGTAAGTAATATGTGAATGTATCTATGATCTCATGGATTTTCACATGCTCTCCAAGGAAACAGATTTCAATCTATCTCTGCCTGCCTATCCTGTGAGACTCTTGTCCATATGCTCCCATACATGCGACATGGAGAATCCACCCCATCTATGGAGGTCCTCCTTATTTTCTCCTGACATCACAAGGGTACCACAGCTGTCTTGTTATAATCCACCCCATCTGTGGAGGTCTTCCTTATTTTCTCCTGACATCACAAGGGTACCACAGCTGTCTTGTTATCCCTCACTCTCACAGTCCATCTCATCTTCCTATGATACAATTCCTTGATAACTTTTTCTTTGTATTCCTCTTCAGAGTTCCTTATTGGTTATGTGTTGAAACCCATTCATACCTACCATATGAATCTTATAGATGAGGAAACAGATATTTAGGTTAAGTGAACTGACCAAAATACAGTCAATAAATAGCAGAGGTGGGATTCTAACCCAGTCTCTGGATATCAAGTCAAGTGTTTTTTCCACTACACCACGGTGCTTCTTCAATAATTACTAACTATTCCAATTTCCTAGATATCAGTCCATCTTACACACATTCTATCTAGGCATAATTAACAAATTAATTTCTTTTCTCACTAACATACCCACAATGCAACTGATAATCACAAACAAAAGTCTTTAGACTCTTCAACACAACCCAAAGTTCCCATTTCAAGGGGCAAATCCGAGGGAAAGTCAGAGATAAACTGCTGGAGCATAAATAAATGGCCTGGTAGATGTTGTCTACACGTCGCTTTCCTTCCTGATTTAACTGTTTAGTACATGGCTCAAAATTTTTCTCTCCTTCCCAACTCCTGTCCTCATACTAGGGGACTTCAAAACACATACTGACTCTCCATCAAACATGTTAACCACTCAGTACCTCAACCAACTCCCCCACCCCACCTCAGCCACACACCGAAGATGGCCACACCTTCAATCTCTATTAGTTCCTTCCCTTTTGTCAGTAAACACACCCAGTTCTTCTCTATCCTTAAAAAAACGAACTCCCTCCAAAAAGCCAAACCAAAACAAAAAAGCCTGTTTGACTCTGCGACTCTGTCAAGCTACCATTCCCCTCTCTTTTCCTTAATTACCAAATTTCTAAAAACAGCTTAAACTCATTACCTCTACTTCCTTACCATCTATTATTTTCCTCAATATCCTTCCATTGTCAACCATCTAGTTAAATCTCTAACCTTTTAATGACCAAATCACTGCTGCCTTCTCAGTTTCTAATTTCCTTGACCTTTCTGCTATGTTTGGCATAGTTGAACATACCCCTCTACTACCTTGGCTTTTATGTCTCTGCTCATTCCTAGTACTCCTGTCTTTCTTTATCATTCTCAGTCTACTTCCCTATTTATTATTCTTTCTCCTACTTCCTAAGCCGGATCATCCCCCTAAGACTGCTTCAATCCTCTTCTCTTCTCTCTCAGTACTCACCTATTGGCAAATTCATGCCCATCTCTTATCTCTCTATGCAAACTGCTTCCAGATCTTTTTTTCTTTACCTCTGACCTCTGCACAGCATGCTTCTCAGTGAATTCTCTATGTCTCCAATAGCCTGCTAGAGATTTTTATCTTTATGTTAAACCAAATCCTCAAATCAAAGAATCCCAAAATGGAATTCCTGACTTTACTCCAAAACCAGTCTGCTTTCCTAATTTCCCATTTCTTTGGATGGTATATATATAAGCTAGACTCCCAGTTACCCAGACTTCAAACCCAGGTGTCATCTTTGACTCTTTCCCCTTTCCTACATTCAATAAGCTTGTCAATTCTGTGTCACAAACATCTCTTGCTTCCATCCTTTCTTTTCCATTTCTATTACTACCATCGTAGTTTACGTTTTATGATATCTTGCTTAAATTATAGCAACTGCTACATTACTGTTTTTCCTGCTTCTGCTCTTATCTTTCAATAATTGAGTTTTCATATTCCTGCCAAAGTTATTTATTCCAGTACATTTATCTGACTGTATAACTCCCTTTCAGAAACTATGAGTAATTTCCCACTGGCTATTAAACAAAATATGAACCAATTAGTCTAATCATCAAGCCCTACTCCCCACCTCTGTTTGCACTTAATCCCACACTTCTCCCTGTCACATATACTACAATTTTGCACAACAAAAATCAAGACATATTTTCAGGAATTACACACTGAAGATTGTCATACCTGCATACTTCTAAGTGTGTCAACTGTTTCCACCTGAGGCACTATTTTGACAGGTGGCTCTTCCCACGTGCTCCAGTGCTCATCTAAGTCATGATCTCGATCACCATGCTTGGTCATGAGTAAGTAAGCGTCAATTAACACATCATCTGAATCTTTCGAACAGTCCTTTCCTGCAGCTGCATTTAGTAGTTGCAAAATAACACATTTCTCCCCAGCAAGAGTATATGGAACAAATACTTGCAAATTTTCCAATCCAGGAATTTGTACCTGGAAAGCAAATGAATCTGAATGTTCAATAAAGAAACAATGTATATAATACCCAGTTTGCAGGAACACATATTGCAAATGAAAATAGATTAGCTTTTAATAAAAAATGTCTCCAAAGAGTCCTCCTAAGGATAACTACTAGGGAAAACATTCCTTAGGAGAATAAATTCTAATAGCTTCTGAGTTGCCTTGTTTTCTAAAAAAGAGGTATTTGGAACACAGTTCATATTTTAAGGTTAGTAATTCAAATCATTCTTCATTAAAGGCTTTAAAAATTTTGTCACAATACAGTGCAAATTGCGCATGTAATAATTATATGTAATAACTGCTTACTACTTGATTACCAATGACAAAATGTCATTAACAGACAGAATTAAAAACGATGCCATTACAAAACCAAAGTATGCTGAAATTTAAATCACATCAATAACCACTACGCACATAAAAGGCTAAAAGAAGGTAGTCAGTGTAATTTAAAATTAATTACTATCTGTTTGCCCACATACTTAACTGCACATATTTTTCGAATTTTGTGTGACAACATCAAGTTCACTTTCTGCAGCAGCAACAAAACTCTTTTTTGTATTTACATCAAGGCATTGTTTCAATGAACTACATAATGAAGCTGGTCATAATGAAAACGACCACTGCTGAAGCACAGAACACAGTAACTCTACCCAGGGTTGAGCTGGAGCCAGCTATTGTTAAATTTACAGCGAGCGTAATTTACATTTCAGAAATTGGCAAATGCTACAAATCAGGGCTTGATTTATTGTTCTGTTGATTGGCTCCACTTAAGAAAGTGATAGACAAAATGTTAATAATACAGAGTAAATATAAAGTGTGTCCTGCCTACATTTTTTTTTAAAGAAGAGTTAAACATTTATCAGCACAAGAAAGACTGTAAACCACTACATTTAAGGTTACTACTGGTAAGGTAATAAGGTACTGACCAAACTATTAAGTACAAAGCAAAGTAACACCACAGAAATTTCATCATCTCACGTAAGTTTTACATGTGTGAGTGTGTGTACAAACACAAAAACATTTTTGCTGACTTGGTTCTTTAAAGAAGCAAGTACCATTTAATTAGACACAACCTTAAATCAGTGAATTTTAGAATTGTAATGTCAAGACTTTATATAGCACAGCATTCTCTATCTATACAGATTTCTCCTGGGTAAACACATTTTGATCACATGTAATAAATATATGCACGTGTGTGTATATATGTACACAAATAAACATCCACCCATGTGCTTTTGATTTGCCTTCATTCCCTAACAGTAACACTTTACCTACCTACCTCCTCTTCTTTATGAACACCCTTTCGGTTTTCGAGTTGGATGTGCTTATTAATAGACTGGTCTTTTAAACATCTATATGACTTTATAGCTCTTCAGTTTTAAAGACAATAAAACCTTGGCCTTCTGGAAAGGGCCATTTTTAGAAATATGACACTTATAGAATGACTCTAGATTTAGAAGTCATCAGATCAATAACTCCAGAACCTCTCTGGTGGGGAAGATGCTTCTAAATACCCAGCAAAAAATACATATGCCAAGAAGAAATGTAGCCCTGAGCATTATAACTGCTCTGTTATGTCAGGTCAGTTCCAACATGTGGAAGGAAAGGAAACTTCCTGACTGAACAGAGGGGTCTACAAAAAGGCTGACCTTTCCCCTCCTAAAACTAAGAAGCGCAGAGAGAGGGAGAGAATGAAAGGAGACAAAAGAGACAAGAATAAAGAAAAGTGGAGAAGAAAAGGCACCACAACACAGACGATTAACAGCAAAGAACAGAAATGCTGATGCCAGCCAAAGATGACGACAGAATTCATTATAGCTCTCGAAAACTTGGCTAACCAGAACTACTCAGATGCCCAAGGGTTCTGAATAGCCAAGGCTTTTGCTACATAAATTTAATTCCATAAACAGCCCAAAATTTCTTCTAATTTTGCCTATAAACATAAGACACAGACAATACTTAATTCCATCCTCACTTATCTAAATAAAGTGCTAGTATATCTGTCCTTCTGGGCTAAGCACAAATGCAGACTCAGCTCAGTAGTAATTTGAGTATCATATGCATAGATGCATGATTTTCTTTTTGACACATAAGCTAGCACCAATTTTTATCTTCCTAAATCTCCAATGATGTATTTTGATCAGAGATTGATGAAGTATAGCCAAGTGAAATTTACAGATTATCCCCGAACTTTATTTTAGCCAATAATCTCTCCTGAAAAGACATATGTTGTTCATTCAGCAAACAGTGTTGTACGTATTAACATGTAAGGCACTCAATGACTATGTAACAGACAGAGATGTGCAATTCTCTAATCAAAAGTTAAAAGTGCTAAGCAGACTAAGAGAAAAAAACGTGGAGTTTGCATAAACCATACAATCATCTTATAGGCTAAACAAGAGCTAACTGGATTTCATTATAATTTTCACAGTAACCATAAAAACAAAAATACCAAAAAGGGAAAATAAAACTACAATGTTGGAACTACTTTATTATCATGAATACAACTGTTTCATTTTAAATACTATTATTACATAACTCCCTGAGCTTATACAGTCCTCAAACCTAAGTGTGCTAATAAATTTTACACAACAGACTGAAGAATAACAGCTAGCATTTATAGAGGCTTTAAGGATTGTAAAGCATTTACATAATAAGATATCTTCAGTGTCTAAATTAGCACAACACTTTACACATAACAGCAATAACTGTTTGTTCAATGAATTTTTTAAAATTACTTTAAAACAGTATTAAGACAAATAAAAAGGGGAAATGTTGGTGGCAAAAAACTGTGAGAAAAGGCAGTTTGCTGTATTTTTTAAAAGGCAGGGAATGGTAAATAAATATGGTACTATCTTTGAAGAACATCTGCCCGGGCTGGCAAAGCCCAGGAGCTGAGGCTGACGAGGGAAGACATGATTCTGCCACACCTTCCACAGAAGGGACAGCCAGGTGGAACAAGGGGGAAAGCAGAGTCTGGAGTCAGAAAACCCTGAGTTCAGATCTGACCTCAGGCACTTCCTATGTGATCCTGGGCTAGTCACTTAACCTGTCTGCCTCAGTTTCCTCACCTTTACAATATTGAAAACAATATCACCTACCTCCCAGGGCTGTTGTGAGGATCAAGTAAAATATCTGTAAAGTATTTAGCATAACATCTGGCACCTAGAAAGTGCTACACAAATGTTAGCCGCTATTATTATTATTATTATTAATATACAACCATAGAATCACAAATTTTGAGCTGGAAAAGCCCTTATGGGTCACATAATCCAACACACTTACTTTATAGATGAGGAAACAGAACCCCAAATCACCAAGCAATAATGAGCAGTGTTGGGATTTGATCTCTAGATGCCCCGACTTCAAACACAGTGTATTTCCCATTCTGCCACAGTCAAGGCTGCAACGACTGAACAACAGCAACAACAAAAATGCTCTCTCTACTCTAGTGGGTTCACTGGGGTGCTACAGGTTCCTGGAGCCACAGGTGAGATCTGGACAGCAGGTGGACACCAACGGTGGATGAGCAGCCCTAAAAAGGGCTCAGCGAGCCCTCACACCAGAGCTGCTAGTCTTCCCTCATACTTACACACCCCAATGTTGTGTGTGTGCGTGTGTGGGGGAGATTAAGACACATAGGGAATACATGTAGTCAGGGCATGGAAGGATAACTCATGCCTTTGATGGCTCAGGATCAGTGATGTCTCCTAATGATATCATCACACTGATATAGTTGGGCCTAGACTCCTCTCTTTTCCCCATGCTTAAATGTTATGTTACTGCATATATAACCTACTGCTTCTGATGCACATAAAATCCTTCAACTCTCTTGTCAAAGGAACAGCAGGTACTACCTTGCTTTTTAAGGTCCACTGGCTTTTTCCAGATCTTTCAGAACTAAAAGACAGGTAGATACCGTTCCTTGGACACCAGCAAAAAGCCTATCTCAGGTACTCCACTCTTGCTCCTTCAAAGTGCAACGAGGGCTTGCTTGGAGCAAGCCCAGATCTCCTAACATTGAGCCGCACTGCTTCTGAGAAGAGACAGTTTATGTCCTCCCCTACACGAGTGGGAGTAGCCTCCTTCAATTGGCAGTACACCAGGAACAAGCATCCGGGAAAGAAAGCAAGTCTGTCCTGTCCTGGCAGTTGGATACTGAGGCCTCTTGAGATTTTCAGCCCCCGGTTTCTTCTTAATCAAGACTAAGATCCTGCCAGCTACAGGATACCTTCAACGCTTTGCATTTTCTTTGGATTCCCCTTCCTGGTCTAGGGCCTTTGGTCCTTTCTTAAGAGACCTTGCCATAATTTATGCAGATTATTCATTTCCCCCCCCAATAATTTTAAGACTAGACTATCAACCTATTAATGGTTACTCACCCAATTATTACCAAACAGCTTGGAGTTTGGAGTTCTCAAATACTCAAATCCTGTGTCTATTCATTTTCTCACATAAATGACTGGGTGAGGAAAAGGCACTAGGGACAACCTCAAGGGGCAAGCTCTTTGTCCCTTTCACTTGTTCAATCAGTATTCCTGGCCCCTTCCCGGGTAGTTTCAGCCAGTCTCCAAACCTCAGAGCGGTTCAGAGGCACACACACCTTTTCAGAATGACCAAGCTTGTCTCCTTAACCCTCTCCAAGAATTAAGAAAATTAATATTCCTCCCTTCACTGTAGAAGTGGAGGGATGAAAGTTTGGAACAGCTAATAAATATACTGTCATACATGGTTAATGTGCTGATTAGTTTTAATTAACTATTTTTTTTTCTTTCTCCTTAAATCTTTGTTACCAAGAGTAGTTGACTAGATAGGGGAAGGGGGGAAGGATATATTCAGAAATCAAGGTGATACAAAAAAACAAAAAGGGAATACAAAGGAATACAAAAAAGGAATAAACATCTCTACAGTCTCCATTATGTGCTAGGTAGTTTACTAAGTACTTTATACAAAGATAATTAAAAAACTAAAGGAGAACAGTTCCTCTGAAAACAGTATAACTTATGTTTGTAAATGAAAAGCCCGTAATCACGTCTGAATAATGAAAGAAATATCAAGAAACCACTTAAGGGAAAATAAATTGTGGGTTTGAGGGCTTTTGCCTTTTAATTGTTTAGTATTATGTTATCTGTGAGTTAACCTGTGTTTTGACAACTAGTAGAGAAAAAGAAGAAATGAGAATAGGTAAGCATGCACGTAGGCATAAATGGAAGGAGTACATCCACGATGCTGTCCTGATACAGATGGTGCCTTAGAGAGATGTTTTGTAAAACCTTCAACTTTCCTCCCAAGGAAGAGCGTAAATTTCACACATCAACATTTGCTAAAAGCTTCTGGCAGGAAAACAAACACTGTGTAGAGAACTATGCTAATAATATCTCTATGAATCAGATATATTCCCTGTCTTCACAAACATCTGAAAAGTGATTGTCTTCCCAGAGCAAGTGAGCCAGGATTACACTCCTCTCTCTCTCTCTCTCTCTCTCTCTCTCTCTCTCTCTCTCTCTCTCTCTCTCTCTCTCTCTCTCTCTCTCATATATCTATATACATCATCTATCTACAGATGTATCTATCTATCTATCTATTCCTCTGAAAGACGTGCCTGCTATAAAACACCATAGATCATAGATTTAGAGGTGTAAGGGCAACTTAGAGACAGGTCATCCAGTCCAATCTTTTAATTCTACAGATGAAACAACTGAGACCCAGAAAGCTTAAGTGAATTGTCCACCTTCAAAATGGTGGTAAATGGCAGAACTATAATCTGAACAGAGGTCTTCTGACCCTAAATTCAGCACCCTGCGTTTCTTCTAGAGAGATGTTTGGTCCTTTTAAGTTTTATTTTCTTCTGGCATGTCTGGATTTATCTGCTAAGACTTCTCTTGTTCTTGAAGTGAGAATATATTTTAACATATTTAAACCAAGATCTGTATATAAATGATCATCTGTTAGATTAGTTATGTCAAACTCAAATAGGAACAGATCCCTGTGGGCACATATTGACTTAGAAAACCACAAGTTAACATTACATATGTTGTACTGCATTTTTACTTATTTTGTTAAACATTTTCAATTACATTTTAATTTGGTTTGAAGTACTTAGGAGTTTTGCAGGCTGCACTTACCTGCAGCCTGAGTTTGACACTTCTCAGAATACAATGTGACATGTCTACATTTCACTGATGCTATTTTAAATAATTTTACCTTAACATAGTGTTTTGATTTCAGCATGTCCAGAAGGTCTTGCACTGGTGCTGATACTATGAATTCTGCTGCTATTTCCAGATCCTAGAGTCACAGTCAAAAAGAAAATTACTTTTACTGAGTTGAATGTTTCTTTAAAGATACACAAAAATATAAACAATGAAAACCAAACTAGATTACCATCATCAGCTCACCTTTCTTAACATTTTAGCAAAGCCAAGTGCTTTGGAAGCCCTTTCTCTAGCTTCATGAAAGAGCTCCTTCAGGGCTCTGCTGGTCTCTATAACAGATCTCCTGTAAAATTGATTGAAATCCTGTTACTATGAATTAATATATGCCCCAGGGAATAAAAAGAGAAATATAAATATATAAACAAATGCTACTTCCATTAAAATAAATTTAGATTGCTCATAAAAAGCAGTAAAATATCAGATACATTATGAAACTTGCTTTTCATTTTCTTTTTTTAAAAATTGTATTTTCTCACACAAGTTAGTAAACATCAGTGAAAACCATTACCTTCTAAATATTTTGTTTAAGATCAGATCTCTGAAAGTTTTAGGAACCACATGGGACCTTTATTTAACTCCAGTCCACCTATAAATATTAAGAATCAAAAGACCAAAAGCTTTTTTTCACATTTTAGAAGGCAACAGCCTTTTCTCTTCCCTTAGGAAAGTATGTGAGCAGAATTCAGTCCTATTCTTTTTTAAGTGTATCTTTAAACTAAAAGATCTCTACTTTCAGTTAATACACTCTTAGTTCACTAATAAATAAAATGTCTCCTAAAACCATAAACAAGAAAATATGAGAACAAAAACCAAACCAAACCAAACCATACAATACCTCCCTGAGGGTCCTAGGACCAGGAATCTAGAGCTAGAAGGGACACCAGAAGTCATTTAGCCCAATCCCCTCATTTTTACAGATGAGAGAACTAAGGCCCAGGGAAAGTAAGTCACAGAGGTAGTATATGAGATGGTAGTAACGTTCAGCTTCTACATAAATGGAAAACCTTGGAAAACTATAAAATGCTAGAAAATATAAAGTTTATTTATAATTGTAATTTATCCCATGTTAATTCTAACTCAATTAGTGTGTGCTTAACAGATTTCATGTTCATGAAGGAGACACAAAATAGGGAAGTTGAAAAAAGAAGACAGTTAAGACAGCAGCCTGACCTAATTTCATCTGAAGCAGTGCTATCATCAGCACTAGTCCAGAACTCAGCACAGCTTTCCTGCAGGCCGCAATCTAAAAATCCTCCAGTAGATTTCAACAGCATTCCTGCAATGTCACTGAAAGAACATAATAGAGAAAAAGAAATAAAACTAAGGAGGAAAATTACTTTTACTTACTTGCCAATCCCTATGAAAACATTAACTTCCACATAAAAATTAAGTTCAGTATAGAAGTGCAGTTTAGGAATAAAGGTTACTAAGAATCATGTTCAATTCTCCCTTTTGCCAGGGTAACAAGTGGTTCCCTGCTAGAAAAGGAATAAAGTCCACCTTCAGACTCTCTCCTTATTCAATACTTTTATAGAGCTACAGTACAAAGAGAAGTATTTACTTCTAAGCAGAAGCCCTACCCAGAGTCATTTCTGGAAACAGAGTACAGACATCTCAGGTTATATTGTCATCTTAAGACTCCACTTCCCATGTAAAACAGGAGGAAGGCAAGGACCTAAGGAGCTGTTTCATTTCAGTCAATTACTCCACATCTGTGTAAACCTACGTAGGCCAATTTCTCTGGTTTCCATGAGCCTTCCAATTTAGCGAACTGGCCTCAACAATTATGATTTCAACCGAACTAAAATCTGAAACTTTATAGAAAACAAGCACTTCAAATCAAACGGATATTATAAGATTAAGAAAGCTAGTAAGAAGGTTACATGAAAAACAACAGTAAATCCTACCAAAACAATTTTCCAGCCTGTGCTTCTCCTCCTCTTATGTAATGAGTTATTTCTTTGGTGAAATTCCATTCTTCTTCTAATAGATTTTTTAAACTATGAGATGCTTGAGGTAACTGCTGCAACATTTTGATCCAACTTCTCATGTAATCAAAATATACCTTTAAACATAAAAGAGAAATGCACAAGCTTTCAACTAAATAAGTATGAAAACTTCGAATTAAAAGTAGGCAGAAACACTGACAGCAGCAAGTAAAAGTTAATGAGGGAGAACGCCAAAAAAAAAAAAATTTAAAACAGGATAATGACGACAACAAAAATTCAAGTCTTAAGCCATTTAGTACTAGAAAAAAAAATAACTCTTTATACACCCCAATATGCCCTTGAAAGTATCATTGTACTGAGTATTTAGCACAATGCAACAACTGACATTTATAATGATTACAATGAATCCTCTAAAATAGTTAAATTGTGTTAGCATCCAATGTAAGAAGACACAGATGTGCACAATTCATTTAAGTTAGTTTTGCAGGAAATACAGTTAAAAGAACTTATGAAAAACTTCATATCCTATCTGATGGAAACCTAAAATATACTACATACTTCCCTGCCTTTTTAACTAGAATTCTTAACCATAGTTAATGGAAAATTTTAATTGTCAAAACCAAAAGGTTAAACCTTTAATCACTGATCAAATTCACCTGTGTGGATAATACTCTAATGAATCATAAACAAATAAAAAACAATAATGAACAAATAAGAAATTCAAATCAACTAAATTCAACAAATATTTATTAAACATCTACTATGTGCCAGGCTCTTTGCTAGGTACTGAGGATACAAACACAAAAATGAAATAAAAGACATCATTTATCACAACCTGCTTAGTGCCAACCCCTGCCAGAATTCAAAGAAGGTAATTACTAAAGACTGAGCAAATCTCAAGAAATCTGAGAATTAGAGGGGAAAATCCACAGTAGTAGTAGTAATCATTGTTGTAGTATATAAATCATCATCATATAGAAAAGGTCAACTGGAAAATATCAATAACTATCACACACACACATACACTCCCATCTCTGAAAAATTTTATAAACATTATCAATAGCTATATGCAGGGCATACTTAATGAAGGTCTGAAAAGTGAAGACTCAGACTTTGGCAAACAATACTCTAAAGGCATCCATCTGTTTTTGCTTCTAAAATAAACTTTATTGATGACTCTTGCATGTAATTGCACAAAGAGCCTCACATGAACATTTTGTGGCAAAAAAAGAAAATTAAACAAAAACATACAATCTTTTAAATATCCAAAAACATATGCAATATTCTAGTCTATATTCCTTTATCTCTCTGTTATGATAGAAGAGGTAGGCTTAATTGTCTATTCTCTGGGACATTCATTGGTATTTCAATCACTCAGAATTTGACTTCCCAAACCTAGTTTCCTTCCTTAGCTGTAGTGTGGAATAATGTATACCTATTAGAAACCTGAAATTCAACATGTCCAAAATAGAACTTGTTATTTTTTCCCCTAAACCTTCTCTTTTGTTTTTCACTATTATTATCGATAGCACCGCAATTTCCATCTTCCTAGTCACCCAAGTCTGCAACATCAGTGTTATACTCAACTTCTCACTCATCCCACATATCCAACCTGCTGCCAAATCTCCACCTTTATATCTTTTATGAGGCCCCCTCATCTCTACTCACACACGCACTACACTACTTCAGACTCTCATCACCACAGAACTACTGCAATGGCCTTCTCACTCCAAATGGCCTTCCACTTAGCTGCTAGTGATTTTCTTAAAGCACAAGTGTGAGCATTCCTTCCTTCACTACCCCATCTCCCCCCACACCATAAACTTCAATGACTCCCTATTACTTCAAGACTGATACACAGAATCCTCCGTACAGTATTTAAAGCATTTTCTAGTCTTCCTACTCTTCACCCCTCTTGGCACTCTAGAACACTTGCTGTTCCTCCCACCTGACACTCCACTTCCCAATTCCATACAGATGTGTTGGCACTCCACCATGCTTGCAGTGCTCTCCATCTTCACCTGTGGCTCTCAAGAATCTATGGCTTCCTCCCAGACTTGACTCAAAGGCCACCATCAGCATGGGCCTTTCCTGGCCCCAGACTCTTAAGTCTTTCCCTCTAAAAGGCTGCCTTCAATCTACTCCCTACATTTCTTTACATGCTGCTTCCCCATTTGAAGATGTTTTTGTCCTTTTTAGTACCCCAAGCACTTGGCACTGTGCCAATCTGTGGACCGACTTGTATGATTTCCATTAGTCATTCTTAAAATGCCTGTTAGTGTCATCATTGTTTCCATTATTCTCCATACATATCTTCCTATAGTTCTCTGAATTCCTCATAGTCATCCTAAATTACTGCCCAATAATATTACATTGTATTTACATAGCATACTTTTTTCAGCCATTTCCCCAACTGACAAAGTTTAAACCAAACTGTCCACAGTCATGTAGCTGGTCATAGGCAGAGCCAGGATTTTAACCTGTTTTCCTACTCTATGTTCAACTACCTCTCTTTAAAGTCTCTTCTTGGCCTTACACATTCTTTTATTGTAATTATATCATTCTCCACTGAACAAAGGCTGGAAGAAAACTGTATATCTAAAGAATCAGTAGATTCCTTACATTTTTATGAAATAAAAAAATTATTTAGAGAAAGGCATCTAGGTGGCACAGTAGATACAGAGCTGGACCTGGAGACAAATCCAGTCTCAAATATTCACCAGGTCTGTGACCCCAGGCAAGTCACTTTTCTTCTGCCTCAGTTTCCTTGTGTGTAAAATGGGGAAATTTTAATAGCATCTGCTTCTCAGGGTTATTATGAGGATCAAATGAGATAAAACTGAAAAAGTGATATATAAATGCTAGCTATTATTAAAACTTAGCAAGACAATGAGTGAAGAACAAGAATGTTTCTTTATAAATACTACTTTAATCTTAGCTTTGATAAAAGAAACTTACTAAATGATGTATTCATTTTTATAACTTTTTAAAGTCAAAGGTATTTTACATATTTGAATTAACTATATTTTACAATGTTGCTGACGTATCCATTTTAAAGACTGTAAGTGATTTAAATTCAAAAAAGAGAGAGTACTGTGGGCCATAATTAAACATGGCTTCCTTCCTCTAGACAGGGTAGGATATGAACTGAGGAATGAAGGTAAGATTCAGCTAGGTAAGTAAATAGAAAGAAGAGTATTCTCTGGGTAAGGCAGAAGTAGCACAAGCTATAGCACTAGAAAAGATCAAAGATAGGAAACGAGGAGGTTATATATACTGGGCAAGAAGACTAACATGATGGCAACAGAAAGAGAAGCAGTAGGGAAACCAGGTTAGAGAGGTAAGGTGGGGCCTACTCATGGGCCTAGGCTATTCTGCCCCCAAATGAATTACATGATATTTAGACTGATGTAAGAGTTCCTGTCACATAAAAATGGGGGGTGGGCACATACCACAACACTCATACCTAAAAAAGGATTCCCTCTATAACACAGTAACAAATGGCCATCTAGCCTTTGCTTGAAGACCACAAAGTAAAGTGGAGTCCACTGCCTGCTGGCATAACTCTAATCGTTAGGAAGATATTCCTTATATAAAGCCTAAATTGGTCACATTGCAACCTTAACTCATTCCACCTATTTCTACCCTCTGGGGAAAACAACACAAGTCTGATACCTCTTCTATAAGATAAGAAAACCAAACTAATTGTCAAAGGTTTATCATACAGAACAAACAAAATAAAAGCAAACCAAACCACGATAACTACTTTTCTCATCATTGAGCCTTACCATCAACATCTTATGCAGGTCCTCTTCAAAAGAGTCTATATTGCAGTCAATCTTTTCCAAATCATCCAATACTTCATGAAGCATGAATTGGTAATACTGCTTCATTAACAGGCCACCCTTCAGGACCTCTTTACACTCTCTTACCAGCTGTAAAAAAAGAAACACGTTAGAGTTACAATCTATCAGTTAATCTGACTCAATTTTTCAGCAGTTCAATGAATTCAACAAGTATTTAACATGATCCTATGTGCCAGGTACTGTACCACATACCAGAAATGCAAAAACAAAACTCAAAACTGTCTTTGTTCTGAAGTTGCTGAAGTTCTTCGGGGGTAAAACAACATACAAATACAAAGTAAATACAAAGTAACTTGTAGGGCAGTGGAAGTGGTCAATACAGGGAGATCACAAAAGACCTCAAGCTGGAGGTGGCGCTCAGGGGAACCTTGAATAAAGCAAGGTATTCTAAGAGTGGGGATGCGAAAGGGAGCATTATTAGCGTGAGTACAAGTCTGTGCAGAGAAAGACAGAGGTGACAGATAATATATTTGTATGTCACCTATTTTTAATGGTGTTTAGTCCCACAAATGACTAGAGAACCTTGACTTCAGAAGAATTTTATATAAATTTAAATTGTGTCAATTTATGATTATGTATAAAATATCTTAGCAGGTTCAAACCCAATGCCTTCCTAATTTATGAAGTTTGCTGCTGCTTTCTACTTTCAAATGTCCCAGTAATCCAGACATTTCAACACAGCTTGATTCCCTCCTTCAGTCCGTCACCCTTACTACTGCCACCATTCACTCACGGAGGAGAAAGTCATGAAACTGTGCTACATCTGGTCTAATACAAATGCACACTACTTAATCTCTACTAAGCCCGCACTGCAACAAGTCGTTTTAGCCAACTCTGAAGGACCGACATGACATTACCCACAACTGTTCCAGCTGATTTCCACAATCATAAATCCCCCAGGAACACCCCAACCCCCTGAACCTAAGCAGAAGAAACTGCTTCCTACTTTGCTGAGTAGAGACCAGTCAACTATCAGCAGGGGTCGATCATCAAATGTATCGGGGGAGTGAGTGGTGGGGGGAACTCGTGGCAGTAAAACAAGCAAAAAAGTTCAAAATGGCTATTTGTATAGCTAGAAGTCAAGGAGAAAAAAACAACTCCGAAGGTCTCTGAATTCAGTAACTTCTTCACTTTGATGCTTCTCTCCATCTCTTCGCAGCTGGATTTCCATCTTCCTGGTAGCATTCTGATAGCCAGTAAATCACCTTCCCAACTCTCTAATAAAGCTATTGAGTTAGCCTCTTTCATTTTTAATTTCCTTCCTCTATAACACAGACCATGGCCCATCACTTGCACTCATTCATTTAACAAATAATTTATAAAAGTTCTGTACTGGGCCTATGAAAGACACTATGCTAGGTTCTGGGGACACACACACACACACGCATGCACGCACGCAAAAATGGTCCCTGCCTCAAAAAGCTTACATTCTACCAGAGGACACAAGGAAATAAAATTTGAGGAGGGAGAGAGCAATGAAAACAGGAAAGTCACAAAGGAGGTGACTAAAGAAAAAAGCCAATGATTCTGAGCTAGAAGTCAGGCAGGTGTGATTCACAAAAATCACACAATTTCAGAAATAGAAGTGAATCTCAATAGTTCCTTAGCACAGCTGACACCTCAAAAAAAATCTAGTAATCCAGTCTTTGACTAAAGGCTTCTGATGAGAAAGAACCCACTGCCTTTTGGAAGCTGACTGTTAGCAATCATCCTTACATCAATCCTACATCTGCCTCTTTGCAACTTCTACATAATACTGCTTCTTCTATCCTCCCAGGGCCAAAGAAAACAAGTAAATCCTCCTTCTACAAGACAGCCCTTCAAACATTTGAAATCAGCTCTTAACCCCATCTGCCTCCAAGGATTCTCTTCTCCAGGATAACCAACTCCAGTGTCTTTTTTTGTTGTTGTTGAGGCAATTGGGATTAAGTGACTTGCCTAGGGTCCCACAGCTAGTTAAGTGCCAAGTGTTTGTTCTGAGGCTGGATTTGAACTCAGGTCCTCCTAACTCCAGGCCTGGTGATCTATCCACTGCACCACCAAGATGCCCCTCAACTCCAGTGTCTTTAACTAATCCTTAAAAGGAATGAATGCAACGCCTTTCATCTGTATAAGACCTATCACAACCCAGGAAATTTTCTGCAGGCAGATGTCTTGCAATGCATCATAAGGCATGAAACAGTAAACAAATGTACTGCAGTAAACCAGTTGATATGTAATGTGCCCACTGTACAAAAAGTATGTTTTAGTCCCTAGAGACCCATTCAGAGTTAAATCAGAAACTCAAGAGGCAAACTTTAATATCTTTGTATGCGCTCTTAAACACCAAGGTCATGAAAAGCAGGATTCTATCTCTCTGAGAAAAGGCTTAAGGTAAGCCATGGAATGAGCTAAATTCTTGAATCCACTCTTCTTTATCCCTTATTTGCCCTCTCAAACAATAAAAATGACCAAAAATCCAAAAACCAAGCTCTGGAAATAGAAGTAATACATAATACCTTGTTCCACCACCATTTATCACTCTGGAGCCCTTCAAAAGTGAGGCAGCATCTCTAATACACATCACAGGCGGGACTTTTCATGTACAAGTAGAAAGGGAAAACATCTTCAGTGAAGTGCTGTATCAGCACCTCAATCTGGACCCAGAATTAGAGTACTGTAGCATCCCTCTCATCTCCAGCTGGCTTTTAGTATTCTTTAATAAATCTAATTTGGACACAAGTACTGTGTGTGGGCTTCCTCCTCTTTCTCCTCTCCAGCTGGGATGCTCAAATCATATACTTGCTCTTACTTCCACCTTCTATATATAGTTTTTAAAAAACCTAAATTGGTTAACACATTAACATTAGTCTTGTGTTTGGCTTTTGGCCAGTGAATGAATTGAAACAGGAAGGAGCAGCTATCAAGTCCCATCACTTTGAAATACCCAGAACTCAGACAAATAGCTCTGATTCAAACTGCTGCAAAGAGTGGCCCCAATTTACCATGCTTGATACCTGCCCCTGGGCAGGGAGTCTTAACTTTTGGGGGTGTCATGGATGCCTCTGGCAGTCTGATGAAACCAGTGTTTTTAAATGAGTAAGAGAATAGGCGTAAGTTTACAAAGGCAAACCATTACTGAAATATATTTATCAAAATAAAAATATATATTCTTCAAATTCCGGATTAAGAATCCCTGCTCCAGATGTTCTTCAGCTTATCAATGTCCTTCCTAAAATGTGGTATACGGAACTAAACATAATGCTCCAGATGGAGCAGAGTACAAAGGACTCTCACCACATTATGCTTGGGAGCTATGTTTCTCTTAACGTAGCTCAGTATTACATTAGACCCTTTGGTAACATATCATCCTGCTGACTGATATTGAGTTTGTAACCCCTAACAAGCCCCAGATCTTTTTCAGGAAAATGTTGTCACATTATGCCTACTCTATTCAGTGTTTCTTAAAAAACTCCATATGGGGTCGTGACCCACAGTTTAGTAAATGCTGACGTGGTCACAAGTGGAAAAAGTTTAAGAAGCCCTGCACTATATTATGCTTGTGAAACTGATGATTCTAAACCTGTGCTAAACTTCTATTTATCTACATTAACTAATTTTAAGCACTTTTGCCCCAGTTCTGTCACGATCCAGTCATCCCATGTGTTAACTATCCCTCCCAGCTTTGTGTCATCTATATATCTGATAAAACATAATATCCAAGTTATTGATTGGTGCTCAGCATAGAGCCTGCCACACAGCAGGCACCTAATAAATGTTTACTGATTGACTGACCACAGTGTTAAAACAGTACCCTACAAAGCAAAGATCACTGAAATACCTCATGATCTCCTTCCAAATGGACATCAAACCATTAACGACTTTTCTTTGGTCTAGCTGATAAACCAATTCAAAATCTACCTTCTCAATACTACAGTTTAGCCCTTATCTCTTCTTTTCTATGAGAATAGCATGAGAGATTTTATTGAACACTTTCCTAAAATGGAGGCAAACCATTCTCTACAGCATTTCCCTGGTCTACTAGTGAAGCAACTGCCAACTATTCCCTGATAAAGCCATGCTGTCTCTCTGTAATTAGTTTCCTCTTCTAGGTGTTCATTAACCATCTCTTTAATCTAGAATTTTGCCAGGAATCAAAGGCAAGTGTATTTATCTATAGTTTGCAGATTCCATTACCTTCTCTTTATCGAAAATTGGGACATGTGCCCTTCTGTCTTCTCCACTGTCTTTTGAAAATTAGTAGGAGAAATCAGCAATCCCATTTCCCAGCTCTTTTAAGGATCTAATGACATAGTTCATCTGACATGAACTGTCCAGGGGTAGCTAGGTGCTTTCTTACTATACAGTCATTTATCTCAGGTTGTTGCGATTTTTGTTGTTTCAACTTTCTGTACTGAGCAGTCATTTTCTTTTGCAGAGATAATAGAAGCAGAATGAGAATTCAACAGCTTCAACTTTTCTCGTCTGCTATCACCATCCTACCCATTCCAAAGTGGAGTCATCAATTTCCTTTGAGCCTCTTCATTCCTCAACTTAACTAAAATGCAAAACAAAATGGCTTTTTATTATGCTTAAATTTTCCTCACCAAACTCAGTTCACCCAGAACTTCAGCACTCCTAACCCATAGCTTACAGTACCAAGCCACACTTCTGTATTCGTTTCTCTATCCTACCTAAGCTTCCATCTTCTGAATATATCTGTTAAAAATCTAAGTTGGTTGGTGAACTCCCTGCACACCAACATCAATGTTCTTAGACAGTGACTCTTATTACTGGAATGAACTCTTGTTTGTGTCGCCAACATTTCTTTCTTCAGAGTGTTTTTTTCCTGTTGGGTCAATTTCCTCTGTAAGTCCCTAGATCCTATCCATTCTTTCTCTGAATTCTTTGAAATTTACCCCCCTCCAAAAAAATTAGCGTGCATGATATATTAAGCTTACTTCTTATCTTTCCCCTCTGAATCTATCATAATCACTAACATACACTGGTAGCTTCCTCCAAAATTTCCTATCATTTCTATTTTAATAACTAGTTTCTTCTTTTAGATTAGAATCAGACTGACAGTTTCCCATCAGTACATTGTCTACCTTTTGAAGAAATCATTCATTAGCTGATGGACAGATACTTAACCTTCACTAGATACTTTATTTTTAGCATATGACTGACTACAGGATTCATCAACACTAAGCTAAAGGATTCTGCTTCTGTGTATAACTGATTCTCATCACCAATATTTGTCTTTCAAAAACACTCATGCTATTCTTTGTGGTATGTGGCCAGTTTTTTCCCCATTTTCCTTTATTTTCATTTTAATAATAGCGAATATTTACATAGCACTTTAAGATTTGCAAAGCATTTTATAAGTACTATCTCATTTGAGTTTTGCAATAACCTTAGGAAGTAAAAGTTACTATTACCTTCATTTTGCAGTTGAGGAAACTAAGGCTAAGAAAACTTAAGTGACTTGACCAGGGTCATACTGCTATTAAATGTATATGGTAGGATTTAAAATCAAGTCTTTCTGACTCCAGGTCTACTACTCTACCCACTGTTTCACTTAGCTGCCTCTAAAAAACAACCATCTTGTTTAGATCACCAAATCCATGGACAAATGTATTGTTACTGAACCTTGTCAGATACTCTATTGCTGGCCATCCTAATATCTTAAACTGTTAGAGAAATCTGAATTTTGCTCCCTGACACTATCTTCTTGATCAGCTTATTCACTTCCTACATTCACCTTTCTTTTTTGAAATCTACCTTCAAGCAAGTAGCAAAGAAAACATAACCTGTGTCTCTAAGTTTCCTGCTAGTGACAGAATCTATTTTCACACGAATCCTCAAAAGTGGGCAATAAGGCTTAAGACGTTTGAGGAGGCTGCCATAATGCAGATCCACGCCTTGGAAGGACAGCATACCTAACTATTTTCATGCCAAGTCAACATCTGTTCACCTCAGTAACTCTAATCAAGAGAGTCACCAAGCAGAACAACTTTAGTAATGGGTGGCCACTGGATCCTTCTCATCATTCTGTGGGGCAGGAAATGCTGTCTCTTCCTCAGAAGCTCCAGCACCACGCTCTGTGGGAAATATTTCAAACTTATTACAAAGCTCCAAAAGTTCAATGGTCCATGTTCCTCTCCTTTTCTGAGCCTCACTTTCCCTGCCTCCCAGACCTCCAGATCATCTTATAACATCTTTTTGTTTTCTTTTTCAAATATTTCTTTCATTCTTTCCTTTTACCCTTTGAGCTACCAACCTTTCTCTGCCCTCCCTGTCATTACCAAATTTCTTAAAGTTCCTGTCATTTAAAAGCCTGTCCCTATCTTTTCAAAGCCCCTTCAAATACTGCCTCTACTATAACATTTCCCAAAATCCCTCCAGCTTGAAGTTATTTGATCATCCTCAGGTCTCTCAAGGAAGACCTTGGGTTCAAGTCTCATCTCTGCCACATCCTGGCTTTATGACCCTGGGCAAGTTACTTACCCCCTCATTGCTCTAGGCAACTACCTAAGACTATATGTGGCAGAGAAGGTCCCAACCTGTTTTGGGGTGGGGGGGTGGGGGATGAAGAGTTCCTTGTACCAATGAAGTCACAGATCCAATCCCCATTCCCCTTCCAGATCTCTCCAAGCACTTTATCTGTATTTCTGCACACTTACATTCTTCCTTCTGTTAAAGTATTTGTATACATATTTTATCTCATCCATTACATTGTAACCCCTTAGAGGGAGAATAGTTATGTTATTCTAACACCAACCAAATGCCTTAAGCACAGCATGAATTCAAATAATGTTAAACTGAATCACATAGTTCAACATTTTGTTTTACAGAAGCAGCAGCTCAGATTCAGAGAGGCTTACTTACCAAAGATCCCTAGCTAAGAAGGTGACAATGATTAATGATGTAGCATTTTTCCCCCTTAATTTTCAAAGCTATTATACATAACAAAATTTTGTAGACTTTGACAACAGGTTGTCTTGGTGCCTTGATTTTTAATAAAAAGAGCTTTTCGTGGGGCAGCTAGGTGGCACAGCAGATAGAGCAGCGGCCCTGAAGTCAGGAATACCTGAGTTCAAATCCGACCTCAGACCAAACACTTGACACTTACTAGCTGTGTAACTCTGGGCAAGTCACTTAACCCCAATTGTCTAAAAAAAAATAACAACCCCAAATAAAAAGAGCTTTTCCCAAGATTTAGTAGTCTACTAAATAATATGTGGTATAAAACAGGGAGCAAAAGTCGGGAGAGTAGAAAGGAAAAGCAGTAGATGCTAAAGACAAGCTGTATGAATACGTTTTGAGTTACAGCCTAGTGATGAGCAGATAAAAAAGATGAAGGGAGTATGAAAATATGGCAGATCCAAGCACAGAGTAGAGGGTAACAAAAACTTAACACAGTCCTACATTTTTACTTCTTGCTCAGTCTTGCTCCAGACCCTAAGAAAAGTACTTTATACTAAACGAAGACACAAAAAACATATTTTTCACAAACCAATCAAATTTATTAAGGCTATCTCAAATTATACTCAAATATGATTATATCATAAAGCACAACCATTTATTTATATCAATTACCTTTACACTTCCAAAACACAGAACTATACTTAACCAAACAATTCAACAATTAAAAGAATTAAAGATTTGTCTTCATAAAAAATTCATAACTGTATAAAGTGACATGTTAATTATTTTTAAAATTGTTAGCTTTAAATGCAAACCTGCTTAATACTCAAGAGAGATGGTTCCCCAGCAGGTCTCTGTTCCAATCTTAATTTGAGACATTCATGGATAACATTAAGAAGCACTCGACAAAGGACCAAAAATGCAGGTTCAAATGATGGCAAATCCATAGATTTCAGCTCTTCCCATGACACAGTGCTGCACTTTTGTTCTGTTGAAGGTGTTGCATTTGACAACTGTATATAATCTGAACACAACATGGGATCTGGGAACTCAGAAAACTGTAAGAAAAGTAAAATTAAACAAGATTCAGATTGTCCATAAAAAATTACCAAAACTATGGTTAGGATATGAATAGAAAATATTACTCCTTGGAATATACTGATAAATTTATACTGCCACTCTGATTTCACAGGGGAAATAACACTTGATATGAATGAGAGGTTTTGGGTTATTGTGATTTTTCCTAAAAAGACTAAAAGAGAAATGGAAGATTTAAGGATCTATAAAACTAAAATGAAATAAGAGTAATCATTTTGTTTTGTTTCAAGAAAAGGCACTGCATAGAATCAGTAACAATCACAAGCTCTGCCCATTAGGAGCTAAGGTGTAGTGACTTGGTGGCTAGAAGCCTAGTCACTCAGGCCTTGCCCCTAGGAGTAGGAAGATCTAGCTCCCAGATTGCAAGAGGAGAATAATTTAGAAATAACTATCTCAAATTCCTGGGACATTTGTGCAGATAGTTGGTTTTTAGTCATGAGATTAGAAACAAGTTACAAACAGATAATATACCTGGGCCAAGAGAGGCAGAAATTCAATAACTGAATTCAACAAATTGTCTACCAAGTACAGAGAGTGCTTATAGAAACTAGAGATAAAAAATTAAAAAAACAAAAAAAAAGTACCTCTGCCCAAAAGTTGCTTACATTCTAACAATGACAACTGACATTTATATAGCACTTTTAAAGACTGGAAAGCACTTTATGTTCGGTATCTCATTTGAACTTCACAACAACCCTGCGAACTAGGTGCCCTAAGGATTATCATCCCCATTTTACATATGAAGAAACATCAAGTCAGTTACCCAAGTTCTCAGTGTAATGAGGAGGATTTTGAACTCTGGTCCTGACTTAAATTCTCTCTCTATTAAAAAATGCTACCTCTAAAAGAGATATGATGGTTTTGAATACTCTCTTGAAAAACAAGCAGCTGAAAATACAAATTATGACAATCTTAATCATCAAATTATAGTATGTATAAATCTACTACATATTTCTTCACAGTGTAAGAAAGACACCCTTAAAGTCATGTACTATATATACCATAAAATACATGTTTTCTGTGACATTAACATTATTAAAAATTTTGGATACTGTATCCACAGAAAAGCTAAGACATATTTTGAATACATTCAATGACTGACTATTAAACTAATTTCTTACCAATCAAAGAAATCTTAAAAAGTTCTCTCCAAATTCAACAATGCACTTAAAGTAGCTAAGTTAGAGTGGTGTCTCTTCATGCTTTTTATGTTGTAATAAGAGCTAACGTTTACATTGTGTTTTATAGTTTATAAAGACTGTTGAATACATTGGCTTATTTGGCCATAATAATAATCACGTGAATTAGACAATGAATGTAATATGATTCCCTTTTTATTTCTGAGGAAACAGCCTTACAGGCATGAAGTATTAATGAGGAAGACGATGACAGACGCTCACATTCATAAAGGCTGTATAGTTCACAAAGTTCTTTAAAGGCTCACAATAAGTCAGAGAGGTAGATACTGACTTAAATTCATGGTACCATCAATACAGACTTGAAAGGGACCTCTAAGGTCTTCTTGTCCAAATCCTTCATTTTACATGGAAGCACAAAGAAGTTAAATGTCTTCTCCAAGGTCACAACGGCAGTAAATGGTCAAGGAAGGATTTGAATCCAGGTCTTCTGATTCCAAATATAAACTTCTTTCAACTATTTCCATTCCTTTATGTCCTGAACCTGCTAGTAAAGGTGAAGTTCAGGATTCGGAACCAGGGTTGATTTTGGGGTTTTGTTTTGTTGACACAACTATGCCAGAGTAGTCATTCATCAGGGATAGCAGTGTGGTGTTGTTCAGACCAGTAGTCAGGAAAACCTGAGTTCAAAGCCCACTTCCTTCCACTTAACAGCTGTAGGGCCTTGGATAAGTCACTTCTCTTCTGAGCCTCAGTTTCATCTACAAAATGGAGTTACTAAAACTTGTAATACCTAATTGTCATGAGGGTCAATTGAGATCATGAATGTAAGATGTTTTGCCAACTTTTAATGCTTTATAAATGTTCGTCATAATTAAAGCACAGAGTATCTTACTATATTACCCAAATTTTTTATCTAATTTAATTATGCTTCAAGTAAAAATTAATGTAATTCTTTCTTTGTGCATATAGCACACCAAGGATCTTTATAATGAATACACTGGATCAACTATTTAAAATCCCTCATTTAAACTAAAAGAAGATAAACAGACCCATATACATCCCTTTACTATGGCCTTAGGCACCTATGTACATAATATAAACTCATTTTAAATCAACTTATCTGCTATATAGATTCATCTTAGAGGTTCATTATTAAACTGACATATACTACAAAAACAAAACAAAAATAATCCTACTTATATAATAACGGAGGTGAAAGGGCCTCAGAGATCTATGTCCCTAAAATACCTACGAACATTAGGACAGACAGCTGTCAATACTTTTTAAGATTTCCAAGAGTAGGGACAGCTAGGTGGTGCAGCAGATAAAGCACTGGTCTTAAAGTCAGGAGGACCTGAGTTCAAATCCGGCCTTAGACACTTGACACTTACTAGCGTATGACCCTGGGCAAGTCACTTAACCCCACTGCCTAGCCAAGAAAAAAAAAATTTCCAGGAATGATGATTTCACATCACTTGTTAGTTCATTCATTCCAATTCTATCACCCTAACTGTAAAGAAATTTTTATGTGTTAAAACATCAAGTCAAAATAATTCCTACTTTAACTTAGGTTTATTTCATCATTTAATTTTTTACAAGAAAATAGTAATAAAATACAATAGACAAGTTTATAGCAGTACATCTACTATTTCGTACTTCAGACTGGTGATGTCTGAAGCAACTAGAAAATTTGGGTTTCTATCCTGACTACAACATCTCTGTATGCATACACAGGGGGTGGTTTCAATATCAGTAACATCACCATCACCACCACCACCACCACCACCACCACCCTACCTGAAATATACTGTGTTTATGGATCTGTAGTATATGCGGTTAGAAGTGTCAATCTTGCTCCTCTTCAAAGATAAAGATGTCTGCCTTTTCCCACTGGACCTCCTTTCTAACCCCAATTCCTCTTTCTAGTGTCATGCAGACTACATAGGAAGTATTATTTCCAGCATCTTATATGCCATCCTCATTTCAATTCATTTCAGCAGCATGTTAGCCAGCAGTCAAGGGAAGGGCAGGAGATTCTGAGTCAGAATACCTGAGTGTCAATCGTAGCTCTCCCTCTTCCTGCATGTGTCACTCTAGACAAATCACTTAACTGCTTTTGGTCTCAATTTCCTTATTGGTAAAATGAAGGGTTTGGACTTGGTGACCTCTAAGGTCCCCTCTATTTTAAATCTATGAACCCTGCCTCTTCAAGCAGCAGCAATGTGATGTTATCTCAAAATAAGTTTTCTGTCAACTATGAGACCTCTACTCATGCTCATCTCTTTTCATTTTGTTCTCATTTTATCTTTCCTTCTTTAGGCTACTTTTGAATTGCTGGGTTCTTTTTCCCCTAAGTATACCTTGCACTTTGCATCCTTCTTGTAGATCAATTTGTACCAGTTATCTCGAATTATTTTTTATTATATTCTATTATATATTATAGATTTTTTATTCTATAAAATATTTTAAGATTTTTATTCCATTTAATTTTTACTGAACAAAAAATCGGGTACTTAAATTTCATTTAAATTATTCACTTAAAATGTAGAACTTTTAAACTGAAAAGATAACTAGCAATTATTTATGGAAAAAATGTAAGAAAATACCACTGAATTAATAAACACTAAATTAATGAAATATACATTTTAACCAACAAGAAACATGAAATCATGAAAACTACAACCTTTTAAATGTCAACCAGAAACCTACCTCCAATGGAAGATCACTCTTAACCAGTGCAATACGAGCCCTTTGTAAAGAACCATCCATTAGCTTGTGAAGTCTTAAAATTAATTTCCTCAAACCCATTTGTTTGAGCGCTTTGTCTACAAATGGTCTGTATATAGAAGTCAGACAGTATCTACTATAGCCTGCTTCAGCACTGTACTCAGACACTCCCCAGCCACTTGATTCATCTTCAGATTCAAATCTGTCAAATTTCTTTGAAAAATGGTCCTGTGGCTGGAGGTCGAAACTGCTCTCCATAGCCTGTTTGAAGTCCTTTACGCTCTGATCCAGGACATGTTCTTCTTCACTTTCATCAGTGGTGGTTTCCAATTCCTTCACTTCTTCTGTGTCACTTCCCTCCTCCTCTGGTTCATTGCCTTTGGACGGTCGGGGAGATGGTATTTCAAACACTGGCCAGCCAATGTCTGATAAATTCTTGACGCCCAAAACAGTTCCCATAATCCTTAGTTTCTGATTTAAGTCTTTCGTAATGTTTAGCCACAGACAGAGCGCCTGCACCCTGTCTTGGAAATCCTTTGCAGCATATTTTTCATAGTCCTTTTGAAGAGCCTGCAAAGAGGGATAAAGTGCTTCTATGTATTCAAGCCGCTCCATTACCCTCTTCACCTGCTCAAATGAGACTCGCTGGCGCTGGAGATGCTCGTGATAGTTTGAATAACCCATGGCAGCGGCTCCGTGGGGCGCTCTACACTGCCCTTCCACTGAAGTACCATTAAACCTAGCTCCATTTCTCACACAAGCGAAACTCTCATAATTTACTTTGAATGTGAGGATTTCATTGATAATATCTGGGATGGCTTGGCGGGCAGTATATAAAAAAAGGTCCTGGTCATTGATGGTCCGTCCTGCATGCCAGGCTTGTAACTCAAGCCAAATGAGTTCATTGGATCGGTTAAACCAGAAAGCAGACGTGTTTTCCTGTCCTCTCTGCTCCCTGTCTTTTTTCTTTGAGACTGAGGTAAGCTTTAGTAGAAGTCGTAAAGTTTCAAAGAATTTTAAGCGTTCCAAAGGACAATCAGTCCTAGAAGTCTGGCGTGCAGTTCTGGCTATAGGTATAGGCATGGAAACCGGAAGCTTAGCATTGCTACAGCCAAGGCTGAGGTAAGGCTTGTTGAGATCAACATCCGGAATTGATTTTTTTGGCAAAGATCCACCTACTGAGTCTAACATGAAGGAGCACTGTACATTTTTTTTATGATCCCGTTCTGTTGTTCTAAGAGTGGCTCGGATCTTTTTCTCTTGCTTATAGCTGTGTTCTTCTACATTCTCTACTGTTTTGCCAATGTCTTTGTGAGGAAGCTGATTCGGTGTGTTCATTTTTTCTATTAAAAAAAAAAAACAGAACAAAACAACATTAATTCTAAAAGTATAAATGCCAGTATAAATGAGATAGCTAAGTGACACCTTAGACTTGGAGTCAGGAAGATCTGAGTCCGAAGCTCGCCTTAGGCATTTAATAGGTATACAGCCCAGGGCAAATAAGTTAACTTCGCTCAACCTCAGTTCTAAAACAGGGGTAATAGCACCTTTCTCACAGGATTGTTGTGAGGATCAGAAGAGATTAGATATGTAAAGAGTGCTGCAAACATTAAAGTGCTATGCACATAATAGCTATAATTATTATATAAACTATATTATACTAGATCCAAGATAGTACACCTAAAGTCATAACTGGTCATCAATATTTCTAGATCAACAAATATTTTTAAATAATCCTGACTGATACTTTTACAATTTCCTGTCCTTTTATATCACATTATTCCAAACTTCTAGATTCTGAAAATTAGGTGGAAATTAATGAGTTATCAAAAATTTCTGAGTTGTCAACTTTTATTAATCTTTTATAAAGCATAATAAACACATTTTATGCTTTCTTTCCATATTAACTAATGGTGATTTCAAGCTAACTTCCCTCCTCTATATCCCAAATTACAGATGCCATATCACTAAAGTAAGAAAATCTAGGCATGCAAACCAACAGACACAGATTCACCAGCATTTCACTAATTTTTGTAAAACTTAAAAAAAAAACAGGTGACAAGACATGTGTAACTTATTTTGATTCGGTTAATTACCTTTTAAAGCATAGACAAGTGGACTTGCCTGAATACAATAGTATAGCATTCATAAGCAGCATCTCTCTGCATCCCACTTTTATATTATGGGTATTTAAAGACATAGTTCAATACTGAAAGGATGCAAGATTGAATAGATACAATGCTGCTTACCTTGCTGCCCCTGCTGAATGATCTGTTCACAAGGAAATAAGAGCTCTGGTGGAAATAATTGGAAGAAGAATAAATAGCTTAGAAGAGAAAGTGGTAAACCTTACCTAAGTAATGGACTCCCTGAAAACTAGAATAGATGAAACAGAAATCAATTATTCCATGAGACAGTAGGAAATATTAGAACAAAAGATTAAAAAAAAATAAAATTTAAGATATCTGATACAAAAAAACAAATGACCTGGAAAATAGGTCAAAGAGAAATAATTTAAGAATTGGATTTCCTGAAAAACTATGACTTAAAAAAAAGCCTAGACATCATGTTTCAAGAAATCTTAAATTAAAACTGACCAGATCTACTGGAACCAAAGAGCAAATTGAAGATAAAAAGAATCCACTTATCACCTCCTGAAAGAAACCACAAAAGGAAAAAAGTCCAAGGAATGTTGTAGTAAAAATTGAGAGTTCCCACAACAAAGAAAAAAAAAAAACACTGCAAACATCCAGAAAGCAGTCTGAATATCAAAGGACTGCTGCCAGAATCACCTGGCGGCTTCTAAATGAGAGGGGATTCTGGAATAAGATATTTCAAAGCAAAAGACTGACTTGTAACTAAGAATAATTTACCTGCAAAGTTAAACATCTCTTTGTATATGTTCATATTTATTCTGCATATGTTTTTATATGTATTTACTGTCTCTCCCATTGGAATATAATTTCCTTACTAATAGAGATGGTTTCATTCTTTCACTTGTATCCCCTGCACGTAACACAATACTTGGAGCAAAGGAGGTCCTTTATAAATACTTGCTGATTTAAAAAATCAACAAATTAATAATCTCCTAACATATTCTAAAAAAGGAATTTTGAAAATCAGAAGACAGATAAATAAAACTGAAAATAAAATGAACATTTAGCTAATAGGATAAAGCCAAAGTGATTTTTTTTTTAAAAAAAATATTTCTGATGAAAAAAATCATAAGTGACTTTTGAACTATAAATTTTAAAAGAATCAAGAGAAACCTAGAAAGGTAAATTTATTTGTGGAAATAGAAAGGATGTAGTGTTAATATTTCAATAAAAGGAGACTAAACAAGTGTCCCTTCAGAATCCTAATGTCTTTTGGGGTGGGAGAGAGAACTGAGGGAGTGATGGCCTTTGACTGACCATCTCCTTGATACTTTCCTCTCTCTAGTTTTCAGCACACCGCTCTATCCCAATTCTGTTACTACCTATGTGGCTGCTTCCCTCTCTGTCTCTTTTGCTGGATCTTCATTTGGGTCAAACCATGGGTATTCCACAGGGCTCTGTCCTGGGCCCTCTTCTCTACTCTCTCTACTCTACTTCACTTGGTGATTTCATTACCTCCCATGGATTTAATTATCACCTCTATTTTGATGATTCTCAAATCTCCTTATCCAGCCTTAACCTCTCTAATGACCTCACTCTTACATCTCCAACTGCCCTTTAGATATCTCAAACTATCTCCAACAGACATCTTAAACTCAACATGTCCAAAACAGAACTCACTATCTTTTCTCCCAAAACCTCCCTCACCTTTCCAAACTTCCCTATTTACTATCAAGAGTAGCACCACCAACCTCCCAGTTTCTCTTGTTTGAAACTTAGGAATCATTCTCAATTCCCAACTATCTCTCACCTCCCAAATTTAATCTGTTCCTCAGGCTAGTCAATTTCATCTATGCACCACCTCTCCAACATCTCTTCCTTCTTTCCTCTGACATTGCCACCACTCTGGTGCTGGCCCCCATTCCCTCAAAGTCTGGACTACTGAAATAGCCTGTTGGTAGGTGTGCCTGCCTCAAGTCTCCCCACTCCACTCCATTCTCCATTCTGCCACCAAAGTGATTTTCCTAAATTGCAAGCCCAACCATGTTACCACCCCCACCCCCAATCAATAACCCCAGTAACTTCCTATCACCTCCAAGATCAAATACACGATTCTCCGTTTGCCATTCAAAGCTCCTTAAAACTTAGCCCCTCTGCCATTTCCAGTCTTCCTTCACCTGTCAGCCCCCCACGTACTCTGATGCAGTGAAACTGGCTTTGTGATTCTTTCAACAAGACACTCTGTCTCTAGGCTCCAGGCATTTTCACTGGTTGTCCCCCATGCCTAGAATACTCACCCTCCTCTTCTCCACCTACTACCTTCCCTGGCTTCCTTCAAGTCCCAGATAAAATTTCACCTTCTACAGGAAGCCTTTCCCAATCCCTCTGAATCCCAATGTCTTCCCTCAGTTGATTATTTTTTTATTTATCCTATATATACCTTGTCTGTACATATTTGTTTGCATGTTATTACCTCCATCAAATTATAAGCACCCTGAGAGCAGGTATTGTCTTTTGCCCTTCTTTGTATCCCCAGAACTTAGCACAGAGACTGGTAGGGGCTTACTAAAAGCTGAAAGACTAAGAAAAACAGACGGTGTAGGGGTAGACTGGTTATACTGTGAGAGTTTGAAGAAAGAAAAAGAGAAGAGAAAGGAGATAAAAGAAATACTCTGGCATAGAAAGAAAGAAGAGGATGGAACTGAGTATTTTGTAAGAAGAGTATACAAACATAAAGGATGGGACGGAGGATGTTGGACACTACTCTCACGTGAAATGGCCAAAGAAAGGTCGGTCACACACACACACACACACACACACACACACACACACACACACAGAGTTTGGTGTAAAAACACATAAAATTCTGCAGGGAAATAAGCAGGGATGATGGTAGAGGACTAAGGGGGAGGAAAATACCAGAGAGGATAAAATCCTAAGGAAAACAGACTTCCAGATACTGAAGGACAGAATAAAAAGGGGAAGAGGGAAAATAAAACTAAAATGTAAGGGAGTATCCATCAATTGGGGAATGCCTAAACATATTATGTTATTATATGCTAATAAACTATGAAAAAGATGATTTCAAAGAATCCTGAGTAAAATTAATTGATGGAGACTGAAGCGAACAGAAGCAGAACAATTCTTAAAGTACAACATTATCAACAACTTAAAAAGACTTAAGAACCTTCACCAAGGCAATGATCACTACATCTCCAGAGGACCTGATGAAGCACTTTACTTTATCTACTTTGTCACAGAGCACTCAATGTATAGAAAGTGACATACATTTTTGGATATGGCCATGCTTGACTATGCTTATATGTTGCAAGAGTTTTCAATTTTTTTTCTGCTATCTTCTTGGGTTTTTAATTGGGGACAGGCAATTTTGGAAGTAACAGATGGAATTATACACATTAAAAAAAAATAAGCAGTGGGAAATAAGAGATCCATAGTTTCATACACAGTACTCTTATGGTGCACTGTTACATATATGGAAATGCCCTTTTTTGTAGCTTAAGTTGAGAATTAAAAAAAAAAAGATTAAAGAGAGGATAGGGGTAGATGAGAATGGAGAGACTGGAGTCAAGAAGACCAATTAAGAGGCTGTTGAAATAATCTAGAGAGAAGTGGGAGAGCCTGGACTAAGGTGGTAACTGTAAGTACAAAGAAGTGATCAATGCAAGAGGTGTGATCACTGATTCAATATACAAGGTAAAGAAGAGTGAGGAGCTAAGGATAATACCAAGTTTAAAACCTGATCAACTGGAAAAAGTGCTTATAGGACAAAATTTTTAAAAAGTAATTTGTCACAAAACTAAGTAAATTTTTATTTACCAAATATAACTGGAACAGTTGCCACTGTTTATCTCTTGCTTTTATGTATTTCTTTTTTAGGTATTTTATTTATTTAGATATTTGGGGTATTTTTTTTTAGGTATCTATGCAGTCCTTGTGGAAAATACATGTCTTCCTTTGATCCTTGCTTGGAGTTTTTAGAATTACTATCACCTACTTTCAGATAATCTCTACATCTACAGTAATTTTAATTTAATTTAATAAAAGTGTTTTTTTTTTAATTTCTTATCTCTCCAGCTTTAATTCCTGAACTGGGACTCTGTGCCAGGTGCCAGGTTACACCTTCTGCTGTATTTTTGAATTGGTTGGTTGGCCCTGCTCAGTTCCCTGAATTCTTGAGCTAAACTTCAACTTCTTGGGGTAGGCCTCCTTGGACCTCTGAGGTCCAG